TTGGAATGAGAGAGAGAGAGAGAGAGAGACAGAGAGAGAGAGAGAGAGAGAGAGAGAGAGAGAGAGAGAGAGAGAGAGAGAGAGAGAGAGAGAGAGAGAGGAGACTGAAGAGCAGCGTTACACGCTGTGGTGTGTACAGATCGAGTGCAATAAGAAGCAACTTTACTTTGAAGAAGTACTATGCTCTTACGCCGGCGATGAAAACTCTCGCCGCGTGCTGTCCCCCCGCCACGAGTTGGCGGACGATAATAGGCTGTGCGCGGAAGAATAAAACGGAACGCCGTGCGTGCGTGCGTGTGTGTGTGTGTGTGTGTGTGTTTGTATATATGTGTGCACGTGCGACGAGCGAGTGTTCGCCCACGGAGGAGGAATCCGATAGAAAGAGATCCGCCGTCGTCGTCGTTGTGGCTCGCGAGAAGCTCTCTCGGCCTTCTGCCATTGCGACACTCGGCCGCTCGAGGGCCGCCGAGTCCACGATTCGTGGAAACGCGCCTTCGAGCGACTCCGCGAATACTTCGAAATCAGTGACACACGGAGTTCACGCACGGGAGAGCGCGAGGCGAGCTACAAGCGCGCGCGCGCGAATGTACCCCACTGACGGTTCACCGCGTCGTGAATTCAGTCGACGACGATGACGATGAGGAGGAGGAGGAGGAGGAGGAGGAAGGAGACGGAGAATAGTAACGACAGGCATATAATTTTCCCGGGGAACACAGGACGCAGCGGCGGAGAAAAAGACGCGCGTGACGGTAATTCGAGAGTCGCGGGACGTCGAAAAGCGAGAAGATAATAAGAAAAGGAGTTTTCGTAATAAGCCTGAAGGGGGGGAGGTTCTCGCATCGCGGGGACCGCAGTGGTCACCTAGAGTAGCGCGTGAGTACGCATAATGCACACACGCAACATACGCACGCACACATGCCGCGGTGCAATTTAGTCTGTCTCCCCCCTCCCGCGCCTTGGCGGTCGACAGCTGCATGCGCGCGAGTCTCCCTGGGCCCTCCTCGTCGGTATTCCCGGAAAGCCACCGTGCCGTTGCATAAAGACGGCGTATGTAATTATTTCTATATAATTCGCTCGGGATACCGAAGTGGTGGCCCCCGTGCGTAAGGAGAAAAGGGACAAAAAGTTCGCCACCGTGAGATTCCTGGTAGGACATCGTTAAGCGCGTCGCGCGGGCGAGTGGAACGAACGAACGAACGAGCGGGCGGGCGGGCGAACCGACCAACACCGTGCCCTCGAGCGATGGCTTTGACGCGCGGTCGAGGGAGACGGAAGAAGAGGCGCTCGAAAGTAGCCGACGTTGGAGATCAAGAGATAGATAGAGAGAGAGAGAGAGAGAGAGGGAAAGGAGAAAGGCAGAGGAGAGACTTCTAAATTCTCGTTCTTCGTTTACCATCTCTCAACTTGGACGCCGAGGAAAGAGAAAGAGAAAGAGGGTGAGGGAGAGGGAGAGGGAAGGTAGCAGGGGCTTTTAAATTTTCTTTTACCGTCTCTCTCTCGGCTTTGACACCGAAGATGGAGATAGAGATAGAGAGGAGCAGAAGGCTAGAGTACATTTTTCACCATCTCTCAGTTTCGACGAAGAGAGACCGAAGCAGGAAGATCCTTCGATATCCATTTACCATTTCTCGACTTTGACGCCAAAGTGGGAGATGGCGACAGAGATAGGGAGGGAGACTTTTTTTTTTTAGATTTACTCATTTACCATCTCTCGCGACCTCGATCGGCGCCTCGAGCCGGGCCTCGATCGGTCAAGAACTCCCCGAGCCGCGGACGACACACAAATCGCGCGACGCGCTTCGAATGCTCGAGCGCGCGCGCTGTATCGCCTTTGCTCCACGCTCGGCTTAACCGCTCCACCACTCTATATGCATGGCGTGTGGATATGTATGTAGGTCAAACCATTATGGAATTCCGCGTATTAATAACGCATTGTATCGGCAGAAAGAGGGGGGGGAGAGAGAGAGAGAGAGAGAGAGAGAGAGAGAGAGATACGCTTGGTTGCCAGCATGAATAAAACAAACACGAATAAAACAGTGCGCCTTGACGTTTGTCGTCCGCCGTCCGTTGCGTGCGCCTCGCGGGAACGCGTACGCAATCCGCGGATGTGGGTCAGATTAAAATGGAATTCAGGCTAATAACGCGAATGCGAATCGCGCGCTCGGAATCTGTCAATAAAGCTGCGGCGAGCCGCTGTCGTCTCTCTCGTCGTTTCGAAACGTCAATGAAGGACGACGCCTCTCCTCCTCCTCTCTTCGCCCGCCCCTCCCCCCCCTCCCCTCCCGCCAGCCCATGCGTCAGAGTACCTCGACGCACCAATCAATCGCAATGAAATTCACGTGCGCCTACGAATATGTACATATCAGTGTCGGTGGTTCGCGCTCTACGCACTGTATGACCGACTACGTCGGTAGATACGATGTTTCTCGTTATTCCGAGAATTGTGTACTGTCGCGTGCGCGCGCGCACTCGCTCGCTCGCTCGCGCGCGCGCGCGTGCGTGCATGCGTGCGATATACATACATACGTGTTACCACGAATGCAGCTCACGTCCCGCGCTCCCCACGGCAGCCCGCCGTTCAGTCGCGAGAATCGCGTGGCGAAATCCCGTTGCGCGTTTCCGCCTCTCCGACTCTCGCACGTGCGAACGAGCGAGCGGACGCACCATACGAAATTTCTGCGCGATATCTCGTACGGTGAATTTCGCGTTTTACGTATACACACACACACACACACACACACACACACACGCACAAGGAGGAGGAGGAGAAAAAGAGAGAGAGAGAGAGAGAAAGAGAGAGAGAGAGAGAGAGAGAGAGAGAGAGAGAGAGAGAGAGAGAGAGAGAGGAGAGAGAGAGAGAGAGAGAGAGAGAGAGAGAGGAGAGAGAGAGAGAGAGAGAGAGAGAGAGGGAGGGAGGGAGGGAGGGAGGGAGGGAGGGAGGGAGGGAGGGAGGGAGGGAGAGAGAGAGAGAGAGAGAGAGAGAGAGAGAGAGAGAGAGAGAGAGAGAGAGAGAGAGAGAGAGAGAGAGAGAAAGTCGGCCCGTTCTTTCCCTTTCCGCAAAGTAATAGAACGTGACGCGCATTGCGGCATAGATACCGCGGGATCGCAATTATCGTCGAGTCGACGAGTACGAGGAAACCCGCCGCTGCTCTGCGGCTTATCGTTCTTTAAAGTTCCCGGTAGAGATCGATAATTGCAACTGCGGCATTGGGCCTATTATCGGTTGATTTATCTGTCGTCCCGATGACTCTCACTATTTTGAGAACGCTCGTTTCAGTTCGTTCGTGACCGCACGCATTCATTTCAATCTCGGAAGCGACGTGTGTGTGTGTGTATGTGTGCTTCCGCTTAATCCGCTTAACTGCACCCTTACGACGTCGCGTCGGGCGAGAACGTTTCTCGAAGGTGTGCTCGCGCTGCTCCGACGTCGCTCTCGAGTACCACCCGGTAGCCGCTGTGTAATGTCGCTTTCGCTAAAATTCCTTTCGTTCCGCTCGGCTCGCGCATCGGAAGCGCATCGACTTGCTGTCAAATCAGTTTTTTCCGAGATGCGTCGACCCTGACCTGGCTGGCATTATACTTGTTCACGGAAACGACCTTCCCCCTCCCTCCTTCCCCGCTTCCACCTCCGCCGTCATCGCCATTTTCCCTTTTTTCTCTTTCTTCTTCACTCTCTTCTTCTTTCCTTTCTTTCTTTTTTTTTTTTTTGAGGGGAACAGAAGGACAGACTCATGTTTTTCAGAAAGCGAACTGACACGCGTGCACCGCCTCGAATTTTACGGCTTCTCAGTATCAAGAATTGTCGTTATTTATTGCCCATGTTGTGTACGCTCAGCTTTAATAGGAACCTTTCGGTGTATCGCCATATATATATATATATACACACACGCTGTTTTAATTTGCGAGCGCGTGCTCTCGCTCGCGTTCGCCTGCGTGCGTTCTGCCGCGAGATGTTTGATAGCGTCGTCGTGATCGCTCGTATAATTATCTTTTATTTCAAAGGAAGCTTCATCAATGCGAACGCGAGAGACTCGAGCGCCGTGTATGAGATATGCGCGCACTCGTAATCGCGCGCCAGATAGCGACTGGCGCTTCGACACGGGTTTTAACGGCGAAGAAGCGCATTTCTTTCCCGTTGATTTTTTTTGTTTTTGTTTTTGAACGGAAGATATGAGAGCACTTGGAGAAGCTGCAAGGGAGGACAGAGATTCATTTTCAAGAATCTTCCCCATTTTATGCAGTCGCCTTGAATATCATCGTTGCTTGGCCAACTCCAAGCTGTTCCGCGACTTTTACTCGCGCAAAATGACGGGGAAATATTTCCATTTGAAATAATTACATTAGAGGGCCGAAAAAGAAGAGAGTAAAAAAAGAAACTGTTGAGTTGGCAGAAGGCGAATTTTTTGCATAATCAGGCGCGAAAAAGAAGGCGCTCCGTCGTTACGCGCTCGAGCGCTGCGAGTCTGGCTGCGTAGAGCGCAAAAGACCCGGCGAATTGCTAATCTTCCGTCGCGACTACAAAGTCTATCACTTCCGATTGGAATTCTCGTAGATGTGCGCCGTGTTTGCGTGTCGCGCGTTGCGTGTTGCGATTCACTTCCCGGTATCGCCCGCGCGCGATAATCGGTCCGCGGGAATACGCGGGAAATTAATCGTTAGACGCCGCGACGTTATCGCGAGAAAGAGGCGGCGATACGACTTCCAGGTTGTCCGGCTGACGGAGAAGTCAATTGTTGACGTATCTACTCGCGAGTGTGACAGAACTGTAATCCCGCCTGTCGCCACACAGCCCACTGTGACGCGTGATACACGATTTTGTGCACAACATGCGCACACATAGGTGTGAGACGAAGCGACGAAAGTATCTTCACAACACATCGGGGATATCAAGCGTGTGTCGCGGCCGATAATTAATCCAATAACGCCGCTCTTCGCGCCAGCTCTTGACACCCAGCCGAGAATCGGTCGTTTATTAACCGCTCGCCGCTTCGTTCTTCCAGGCCCCAGAGAGGCGTAACCGTGTTATGCCGATTGTGCTCCAATTCCGGACGTGCGAGACCCCACGACGATGCTGACGGTGATGTGCCCAAACTGCCGACACCGTTTTCGGACAGCGCGATGCTGCGAGCCTGCCGGTGGCAGGGGAGGAGGAGGAGGAGGGACCAGCAGCAGCAGCTGCGGCCAGAGGAAGGAGGAGGAGGAGGAGGAGGAGATGCTAGACGTGGAGGCGAGGGCGGCCGTTAACGACGATTTCCCGACCACGACGACGACCACCACGGCGGCCACGACGGCGGCGGCCTGCTACGTCGGCGGTCTCCTGGTGCCGCACGGTTACACCAGCGGCGACGGTGCCTTCATAAACGCGCCCACCATCGTCCACGGGCCCGCCGCCGTCTTTCAGCCGGGTATGGCTCACTGCGCTCCCACCGTTGGAATCGTCAATCCCGACGTCAGCGCGATGGCCGATCACGAGGCACCGGCGGCGCGACTTTCCGGCGCGGTTCCCCGCGCTCAGACGTTCGCCAGGCAGAGCCCTTGTCACGCGACCTCCTCGCTGTTGCGCTCGCGAACGAGCCCGTTGAACGTTGACGACCCGCCTTCTTCCGTCATCATGGCGAATTACGGGATAGCGACAGCCAGCGAGCGACACGTTGCCACCAAGTGCGAGCTTACCGACAGCACCGTGACCATCTCCACACCCGGGATACAGTCCGGCGGTTACCTGATCCAGAGCACGGAGACGGGGATCTTGGTGCAGGCCCCGAAAGCCAGCATCGAGATCCGGCCGAAGCTCAACAACGACGCCGGTTGCCTCGTGCAGGACAGATCATCGTCCGAGGACGAGCGGCTGGCGGTGTCGTCTAGGTACAACACAGAGGCTAATAACATTCATCATCGGACGTTGGTCGCGCCGCCGAGCGGCTGCTCGGAGCTGCCCGGCTGCAGGAGGACTCTGTCGTCCAGGATTACGGCGGAGAACAACGAGACAATGGAGTCGCGGCAGCGGAAGATCCCGTGCTCGATTAGGACGAACGGTTGTCGCTGCTGCGGCGACCACGGCGACGGCGGTACCACGCAGAATCTCTGTCAGTGTCACGGTCGGCCGTACGACGCTTCACCTCTCGAGAACAATTCTTTGCATAATTCTTTGCTGGTGGAGCCGGTGGGCGGTGGTGGTGTGCAGATCCAAGTGAACGCCACGTTGCAGTTACCCGCGAGCCTCGGCCAGTGCAAGGTGAACATCACGGCGACGACGGCGGCGTTGCCGGCGTCGAATCGGATGATCGCGACGGAATCGCGCGTGAGGAACAACTTCAACGGCGGCGGCATCGTGCAGCCGGACGAGATCGTAAGCAACAACGAGCGCAGCGACGGCACGCCCACCACGCCTGTCTCCTGGCTGATGCCTTACCCGTGGAACTTGGACTTGCTGGACAAGGATATAAACCGCCTGTGCGAGGTGAAGAGACTGCTGCAGATCTGTGGCTGGTATCACGAGGGTATCAGTTGGCAGCAGAGCGAGAATCTGCTGAAGAACGCGCCCGTCGGCCGCTGGCTGATGAGGGACAGCTCGGACAGCAGGTACACCTTCGCAGTGTCCGTGCAGACCAACAGAGGTCCCACGTCGGTCAGGGTGCATTATTTCCTCGAGCGTTTCCGGCTCGACGCGGAGCCGCGGCTGGTGCTGGCGATGCCGCTCTTCGACTGCCCTATCAGGATGCTGGAGTACTACGTCGAATACTCGAAGAGGATGGACGAGCACCGGCGAGAGGTGTGGGTCGACTACAGCGGTCAGCTCTACAGCCAGATCTACCTGACGAAGCCATTGGTCAAGGAGGTCAGGTCGCTGTCGCACTTGGCCCGACTCGCCGTGCACCGGAACAAGCTGCCTACCGACAATCTGCCGCTCTCGATCAAGAACTATCTCGCGGAGTATCCGTATACGCTTTGAGCGCGTCTCCTCGTGCGGTATATACGCGTCTATCTTCCAATAAATCTAAACATACATATGTTAAGCGGAGATTTTATTTTTCTATAATACGGTGCGCGCGCGAAGGCCTCCCTCTTCTCGGGCGATCACACGCCGGAAGACGGAGGTTTGCACGCGAGTGCGGGAGAACGACGTGAAGCTCGGGGAAACGCGGTACACCGTTTTCCACGGTCAAAATTGCAGTAGAAAATAATTACCTGTCGCTGAAGCTCGTTACACGAAATAACGAGACATTTTTCGCTTCATACGTAGGTCCGTGTAATATTTCAATCGAAAGATTGTGACACATACACACACACACACACACACACATACACACACACACACACAGACAGACACACACACACAGACAGACACACGCGCGCGCGCGCGCACGTACGCACGCACGACTGGTGCGATCTTCGAAGCGTAGTTGGAGGTCACGTCGGACCGCGAAGGATTCTGTAATATGTTTCGGCGCTTCGAGGAAAAGCAACAACGCTCGGCGCATCGTGTCGTAGGCAGCTAAGACGAATAGTGAGAATGCGAGGCACGTCAGAAAGGTTGATTTATTTTTCTCATCTCGATCGTCGCTCGATCTCTCGCCGGAGATGGCACTCTACGTAATAACAGGCATAATAAATTATAAGAGACGTGAAAGAATGAGCGTTTGGTCTTGGAAGCATCGCGACGATGAGAGCGGGAAAATGCACTGCGCTCTCGTGAGTCTCGAGCTCAGGCGTGATCGCTCGGCGGCGCACCGCGCCATGGTACGGCATAATATTAGAGTATGTACGCGATATATATATATATATGTGTGTGTGTGTGTGTGTATATATATGTATATATATACATATATATATATATATATATATAATATGCATATACATATAGTATACAGGTTGAGACACCTAAAACAGGCCACTTGAATAACTTTGAAGATATGCAAGGTAGAAAAAGAGATATCAAATACAAAAGTTGTAGAGTTTTAAGTGACATATCACATAGCAACACTAGCAAGACCTTGAATAGCGTTATCGAGGTTACAGGAAGGTCACTTTGAATTTTTTAAACGAAAACTTCCATTTTTTGATGTATCGTCTTTTTCTATCAATTTAAATAACTCTTCTCTTGAAGCGTCTTTTTTATTTGCCTAATATTTTTTGAGATATTAAAGGAGGATTTGATAATTTAACACAATGTGTTCAAAGTAGTATAGTAGTATTGCTGTATGATACATCATTTAAAGTCCTACAACTTCTGTATTTAACATTTTTTCTATCTTGCATATTTTCAAAGTTATTCACGTGGCCTGTTTTAGATGCCTCACCCGGTATATACATATACGTCGAACTTTTTCTCTCTCTCTCTTTCACCAAATGCTTCGCAGTAAAAAGAGAAAGGAAAAAAGCTACTGTTAAACGGAGTGGAGAGCGCGCGATTTGTCTCTCGCGCGCTCTCCTCTCCAAAAGCGTTCCGCTGCCAAGATCGTCGATGGGTTCACGTGAAACGGTTTATCATCGTCGGGATACAAAAGGGTACCATTTACATACCCTCATTAACGTAATCTCGATAGAGCTACACTTGATAGTCCATTGAAAATAGTTCCGAGATATCTAGGCAACGATTCGAGTAATACGATAGTAGAAGGGAGAACAGGGACGGCCATTAGAGATATTCGACGTGCCACACATGGGCGTTCGAAGCGCGTTACAACGATTATATTTATTTATGAAGGAAGGAAAATGATTCTCCGTTGAGACTCGTTGATCGATAATTTATCGCAGTACCGTCACACTGATAGTCACGCTTCGTGTACATAGTCCCGCAATTATCGCGCAAAAACACGCACGAAGAACATAATAATATTAAGTTTTTTCCGTCGAACGAGTATCGCGCGGAACCTTGATTCGCGAGCGAGCAAATGTCATGTCGCGGGCGAAAACAGTGGAAGAAGGAAATAATTAACGAGTCCGTCTGTCTGCTGAGCGACGCGACGACACGAGGTCGGTCCGCCGAGTGACTGACAGATCGCGGTCCGTTTCGTTTCTTATCTTATTGATTTGCGCCTCTCGAAATTCACACGAAAGACCACTCGACACTTTTCGTGCGCTGCTGTGCGCTTCTTTTTCCTTTTAGCATATCGACGATCTTGCGACCACGCCTTTAATGCAGTTTAATCGTTGGACAACGATCTCGACGATTGCATTACGCGTCCGTCGTTCGTGTGTGATTCTTCTTCGATTGTCATCAGCCAGGAAACGCTCATTCTCATTTCCCCCCCTCGGACTCGTCGTCGACACGTCGCGTCGGGGACACATCGCGAACGAATTGGTCTCGCGCGCGCGCGCGCGCGCGCACACTGTATCCGTTACATATTTTAAGCGATCAGAAAGAAGAGACGCCGCGTGTCTCTTTTAATCTCCGCGAGCCAATCACACTCTTTATGTTTTACTTTTGAACGATGGATGAAGCGAAACGTAGGTTTACTTGTAGATTTATGTACGTCACACTCGAGGATATAAGCATAGTATCAGCTCGGACCAATATCGACTAATCCGCTCGATTCTGTCGTGAAGATTTCCGCGGCGGTTTCGCATGCTTCACTTTCCAAGCGTTGCATCTCGATTGCTTCGACTGTGTTTCAAATTGGCTCGTCAAGACTCTAGTCGGTCATGGGTTCACCCTCTGCCCCGGGGTCTCCGAGATTAGTCGATGCGATAGGTTGTGAGCTTTCCTACGATTGCGAAGAGCGGCTTCGTCGAACGGACCGCTCGAATCCCATGTTGAAAAAGAAAAAAAAAACACTAGGTGTATACGAAACTTAGGTACAAAGTTACTATACGTGCGTCTTATCAGCTCGGACACTCATTTTCGTTCGCACCACACACACACACACACACACATACACACACACATACACATATACATACACATATACATATACATAAACAGACAAACAAACAAACACACACGTCTACATAAGACCTATATTTTTCTATAAAAAGATAAAAAAAATAAAAAAAAATAACAAAAGAAGCCGCGAAATCCCGAGCGAGCCTCTTAAGGATAATTAGAAAACCTTGCGTGTGCGAGAGACTTAGCGAAAAGAAGAATAGCCGTAAGAGAGCGACGCTAGGAGGAGAAAGGAAGGAGGAGGAAGAAGCGCTTCTGTGTCGTGCGCTCGCACGTGTAAAATAAACGCATCGTACATTGTGCGTGTGTACGCGAAGGCGTGGGTGACTGCACGCTTTTTTTTTGTACGAACGCATACGTACGCACGCGGGCGTGCGTGTGCGCGGCACGGTGTGTCTCTACATTAGAGATATGCGGGCGGTTCGGTACCGAGGAAGCGGATTCTCAGAAGCGGTAATTGCTACGAGATAACATTACACGCGATTTGCGCGCGCGCGCGCGCGCGTCTGCGCATGTGTGCGCGCATGTAATTTGCGATATAAGCGCGATAGACACAAGTGTTGTGTCGTGGCGGCGGCGGCGGCGGCGGTGGCGGCGAGAAGAGCGCGGGGGTGGTGTGAAGTGGAGTAAGATTAGAAGACGAGTGACGCGTAGTTTGACGAGTGTGCGTGTGCCGTTGGAGAGATTTTCCCAGAGGGAGAAATACAGAGAGGGAGGGGAGACGTTCCGCTCGCCCGAATCAAAAGAGCCGCGCTCCCTGTGAATTTCATCTCGCAGCGATGAATGAGCCGAGCCGTCGAGAGAGAGAGAGAGAGAGAGAGAGAGAGAGAGAGAGAGAGAGAGAGAGAGGGAGAGAGACGGGTTTGGTGCGAGTCTCGCGGTATGCGCGCTCGGGCGAGACTGATCAGGCCGAAAACTGCCAATTTTCACATGTGAAATTTGTGTGCCTACGCGCGACCCGCAGCTCGTCTCGTTCGCTCGCCGAAGGTCCGCGACGAGCGAACGCGGCGCGCCGTCTGGGTCGGCTTTAGAGACGCTCGAGTCGGAGACCGGGTCGGTCCAATCTCTCGAGGTCCTGTTGCATCGGTGTTATACTTCTCGCGGGTAGCGGGTTGAACGAGTGCGGGTGGTTGATGACTTGACTTATGCGGGTAAACTGCGCGAGGAAAGGTCCTCCTCTGCGAAGGGTAGATTCGCGAATGTAAAACTGGGGGGAGAAGCCGCTGCTGGCGAGATCGCCTTTCGACGAACGTTCCTAGTACAAAAGGTGATCGGGAGGAGATTCGAGCGCTTTCCCAAGTCTGTCTGCGCGCGGTATTGTCTGTCTGAAGCATATTACTGTTATGTAATGCGATATTCCTCGTATACGCGCTCGTCGTACGTCAACGTTGCGATCCCTCTCAGCGTCGGTCGACCGTGCAAAAATTCTCAACGCGGTAAAAAAGCGAAGATGGTTTCGAGGAATTCCAGACCGGACGCGTCACGGTGTGCGTGTTTGCCTCTCGGAGGAAAATTCTGTGCGCATGGTAGACTTGAGATTACTTCTAAGTACTTGTATCATTATCCACTACGCATATAAAACGGCATTGCCGATGCAACTACATGTGCATTCTCTCGAATTTGGAACACGGCTATCTCGAAATTGATTAGCAGCGGCGTCTCCTTTCTCCTCTCGGCGGTGCGCTCTGTCCTGCGACACGTCGAGGATACCGGAACGGAGGAGAAGTCCCGTGAGAACGCGCGAATTGGATCGACCTGACTCGCGCGTGTCGCCGTTAGATTCTTTTCCGCATGCGACACCTCTTTATGAAACATCTACGCACTTCGTATATAAATTAAGCGATGTTTAAGGACCTTCAAGACCATGTCTTTTATATTGCAATTAACATGATATATGTATAGCGAACAAATTAAATTATTAAAAACCTATTTATTACGAAAGAAAGCGCCTCTTTACTCTGCGTCTTACCCTCGCTGCGTGCCTTTGATATATTAGCGTTATCAGATTATCATTATTATCTTGTAGTGATTGACATAACCACTCGATATATTTTACAAGTAGTTTTTAAAGTGCCTAACGTGTATTTCTGCTAATTGTATACATTTCGAGAAAGTCTTATCTGATTGAATGTAAAAATTTTGTTTCAAATGCCCGATTGGTTGAACATGATTATTGATTGATTGGTATTACTCGTTTTGATACTAAAGTCAATGGTAACTCGTTGCGGAGGTTGGAGAACAGTGTCATCAAGGTTACAGGGAGACCACTTTGAATTTTTTAAATAGAAAGTTTTTATACTCTATTACTCTATTATCGCTCTATACATGTAATTCAGCTAATACGTTGTTGAGCACCTTAATTGCCTGAGTGGCACCAACCTAGCGGTATTTACTGAAACCTATTAGGTATATGGTTTGAGTCTTGGCTAACTGTACTTGAAAAAGGTTCGAATTTCGGCTTGGAAGGATAGAATAGAGAATGAAAAGGAAACTTTCTTACTGAATTCCAGTACCAGAAATCTGAAGAAAAATTAAGTAAATTCACAACATTGGAAAGCGTCTATAATCTATCTGATGTTTCTTCAGTGAACGTGAGAAAGAATACCAAGAATCTTCTTTGGAAAATCTACACCTGTCTTTGATTTTAATTTCGAAGTTTCCTCCTACTGTCGATAGCCGCTGCTATCTTCAACGAAATATCGAGATACTTTTAATTTTCAAGTATCACAACTCCAAAACGCCAGCAGACTCCGTCAACGGTCAGATAATTGACAGATGGGAAAATTTTTGTTTTTGAACAACACGACTGGTCGACAGTCGAGTTTGAAAATATCGAGAAAGTAATCGACTCCGCATCGACTCACATGGTCTGTTCTTTTTAGCTGCACTGGCGGTACCAGTGCAATAAGTTAGAATGAGACAACTCTATATTTTTTCTCACTTTAACTTATTGCACTAGTTTAGTAGTATAGCAGCTAAAAAGAACAGACCAACAATGATCGGATATTGGTCTGTTCCTTTTAGCTACCTGCTAAACTGGAATAAGTTAGAGTGAGACAAATATAGTTGTCCAGTTCAGCAGTGCAACTAAAAAGAACAGACCACATCGGTCATCCCTAGTTTACATCATGGTCGCTCTACGACTGCTTACAACTGTCAACACCGATCAATTAACAGCATAATGTCTAATAAGGTGGGTGTCTCGGTCGCTTGTAACATGTCAACGTAATCCTCGTGGCGTACACTACGTCTTCGATTAAAAACGAAAAGTTGGACTCGCGAGATTGCACGCTTTTCCGGTTGTCTTAACCGAGATAATTGCTCGAATTTGACGTTTCACGGTCAAGGCTTCCCTTTATGCGAGTCAGCCTCGAAATTATCGACATCTCGCTTGCCGCGAAGTAAATGTCAATGGTACGTCATCGTAATAATGTCTGAATGCAATTTATCATTTATGCATGCACATCCTCCTTGAAAGTTTGTACAACGCGTTTGTGACTTGTTCCCACCTTGTTTGTTATTCATAAACAGTGATAATGATAATGCTATGTTATTGTAAGCGTATACTTCCCGATGTAATGACAATAATTTATCGTTTTTCAGATAGCTACCAAGAAGGCAGAACTCAAAGACGACGTTAAGTCACGTGTGCGATCGAGAGCGAAGAATCCATCGAGCAATGAAGGTAACGCGGAAGCGTCGAAAAAATCGGAATCCAGTTATCCGAGGAAGTTGCAAACCGCCGAGCACAAAGGGGATGGAGACAGATCCAAGGCGTCACATAGTTCCTTGACGAGCAGAACACAACCGACTAGAAGCACCAGCAAGCAGCCGGTCAGTTCTTCTCAGCCTAAGACTATCAAGCAAAGTCTCACACCTTCGACATCCAAATCTAGTCTGGTTAAGGCTTCGTTGTCTAGTCACTCGATGAAAATGAACGCGAGTTCCAAGACGAGGGCTGAAAATCTCGCTGCTAAATCGAACGACGATAGCACAGTGAAGAGGCGGAAGTCGAGAGAAGCTGGGTACTCGGAGAAGAGAGGCCTCAGCACGATCTACGTACCAAAGTCGACCACGAGTAAGCTAAACGTCAAACCCAACGAGAAGATTACGTCTCAAACAAAGGGGAAAACGCAAGACATTCCTGTATCTGGTCGAACTAAACCACGGATGTCATCCAGAGAACGCAGAAAATCCAGGACGCTAAGTCCCAGCGAAATTAGAATGCTGCATAGCGCCATAGGGCGGCCGAGCGACGTGGACAAAGATACGAAGCAAAATAAGGGCAGAAACGCGCAAGCGAATTCAGACGAGACTGGCTACGAGTACGAGGACGATTTCGAGGTAAAGGAAAAGGGAAGCAAGTTAGAATAGCGGGTCTCATTTGGAATATGGAATTGCACCGCTTCGATTTTTCAGGATTACGAATCCGATTTTCAGGAATGCACAGACAGCGAGGCCTCTCCGATCAGCGAGAGGTCGGATAGCAGTGACGACAATTCCCAGCCGGAAACTATCGAGCTGCAGACGCGGGAGAAGGTACCGACAGCTCGTTTCGCGTCAGTGTCAAGGCGGTGACTGCGTGTAACTTTCCCCTGGGAGCGGAAAAACTTCATTTTCTTTGCTCGAGGGTTACATGATTTCTTAAAGTCGTCGAGGAACTTTTCACTTTTCACGTTTCCCAATTAATTCTTTTACTTTAGTCCTTTCTTACGATGCCGATATTAGTACGGAAGCTATTAATCTCTTGGCAGTTTTTATTCTTGGAGGAAAAGTTACATGATCACTACCCGAGCGACAAGATAAGTCTTAGATCAAACGGAAGTGTGTCTGCGTCGTAGAAGAGCGTAGTGAACAGCACGGAGCATGCAAAAGCCGAAGAGGAACGCAAGCTGGACTCGGGCCACTACGATCTCGCGGAGGCGAGGAAGAGAGCGGCGCGGATGGAATCTATGGTCGTGAATCACTCGAACACACCGCCGTTGCCTGAACTGAAAGAGCCGGTCGGCAAAGCGTTTAGGTTTGTGATAACCGGGATCAGGTATCAGGACGAATAAACGACTTACCTGGTCTCCGCTGGTTTCTCGTTGTTTGTTCGTTACGTTTGTTTCGCGTTGTACACGCCTCCTTCGCAGCGTCTTGTTGTGTCTTGTGGAAATAAAGCACGAATTTGCGAATAATCTTTGTACTCAATGATTTGTATTCAATGATGGAAGCAGCGATGACAGACCGGCGGAGAACAAATCTTTGCCGTCGTCCGCCGACGAGGGCTTCGAGGACAGCCGCTCGGGAGACTTTACTAAATCTCCGCCACTGTCGCAGACACCATTTATCGACTTCCGCAAGTCGAAGGAAAATTCTCGCGAGGAGGTAATTCGCGCCTTGGCAAGAATGTGAATTGCAACGTGTGTTACGCCATATGTTTCTGTTGCAGTTGTATTTGTTTATTATTCTATTATTTATTTTGTATTCCATAAATCGTAATTATTCATTATTCTATTATTTATTCTATCATTAATGGGAGTCATCCCTTTGATACGATGCGTAATACATAAATTATATTAGAAAAAAGTTAAAAATAAATCGGTTTGAGAGTACAATCGTAACAGAGGGAAGATCTTCTTTTTCTCGTTTTTGATGAAGCATGGTCAACTATCACTATTAATTGTTAATTGTCGTACATTATTTTCGTGTGGTATGAATTTTTTGTATATGCCGATGGCGCATTTTGCGCCCTATTTCTCGCAGAACTCGCGAAAGCATCGAAGCAGGGGCGAGGAATTGTTGGAAATGATAAAGCTGGATTTTATGGGATGGTCGATACTAGAGTGCAGCCCCGTGCCTTACGACGAGTTTATCAGAAATTACGGGAAACTGAACACTCAACAGGTACGTGACGCACTGCTGAGCTGCGACTCGGTCAATCCTCCGTTACATGCCGTTACATGCCGCATTTTTAACTTCACCAGATATTTACTCAAACCGGCGATGATGACATGGACATCGAGATACAAACAGACGAAGTGCTTCACAAGAACAAGTGGACGCAGTTTCCTGTCACTTGCAGGAAGGGATTGCGCGACAGTCAGGACGTGAACTCGTTCAGATTGGTAATTAATCAGTTGGAATTCTACAGATACACCGAAATAAAGAGGATCCACGTTCTGACGAACGTTTCGGCAAAATTTGCAGGAGCAAATCGGCGTCGGGGGTGATTTGGAAGATCCAGAGGACACAAGTTTCCCTTTACGGCCGTCATACGACGTATTGCGCTTAAACGACTTTCTGAATCGTGCCGGCACGGTCGTGCTGTCGCTCTTGGAGGAGAGAGAACACGGTGGCAACGTTTTCCAGAATGACACGGAGGAGTTACCGTTCAGCGACGGCTTCGTTAAGCTCTCCGTGAATACCGTGACGTTTCTGGCCGGTCGAGCGGTCAAAATCATACATTATTCGGACGTTCTGAGCAAAGTTCTGCTCACTGTGCATTCCCCCGTAGAAGAGGTGAGTGGTTAGTCAGCCGTGTGATCGGATACACCTCAGTGAAACACACACCTCGTTTGATCTTCCTCTGACGTTGAACGCAGGAGATAGAAACCGTCAGTAAGCAGGATTACATCACCGACCGTTGCATCGGCTGCGTCTGGAACGTCTCCGAGCCGTCGATGCCGAAGAAACTGTTCTACTCGCAGTGTCCCATCACCGCCTGCTGCTTTCATCTGACTAATCGCAACGTGGTGTTTGCCGGGCTCGAGGATGGGTACGCCACTTGATGTTCTTCTCTTGAAATTGTTTTACACTTCCGGTTCATTCAGGGAGTGACGAAGCATTGATGATGTCGTAGGTCGTTGAGTCTCTGGGATCTCAAGGAGGACGAAATGTGGCATCAGAAAGTCACGGACAAGGCCAACGAATTGGACTGGGTGATAAGGACGCCCACTTACACGACCACGGCGGATGCGGAGTCGGACACGCACACGTCGCAGATCGTCGCGATACGCGTGCTCTCCAAGTTGGAGGCCGCCCCTGCGAGAGGAAGGAGCGACAAGTTTGTCCCCATTCAGGTTCGCAAATAGTTCGCAATCCTCACGACTTGACGCTCGTCAACATGTCGCTCTACTAATCCCCGCTTGCACTCGACGGATTTAACAGATATGTAGCTTAGACGAGGACGGTTGTCTCGTAGTGTGGAGCATCGTACACAGCATGGGTGTAAATATCGACGACCTGGGGCTCTCTCACTGGGGCGACATTAGACTCGTAAAGAATCAGAAAAGATTTCTGAGCAAAGGAGACGCGCAAACGTAAATACACTCTCTCGCGAGAGAGAAAGTTGTGATCGATAATGTTGTGAAAAATGTCTCCTAATTGTCCGACTTTCTCTTTCTAGAACGAACGCGTTTCTCGATATGCGTGTTGACAGTGCGGACACGAATAACGTTTACGTCGCGACTAACAGCACCGATGTTACGCATGCCACTTGTATCGGTAACAGAACTAACCCCTTGACGTACAAACCAGCCGACATAAGTGAGTCGCTGCTCAGTTCTATCGCTCTGACGTCGCGCCAAGTGCGACGAGGTCTGGCGCTTATTGACTGTGTTAAATGTTTCAGGCGGATGCGGTAATTCGACGTGCATCGAAGTCTGTCCTTTCGGCCAGTCGTTCTTTTTGGTAAGTCCTTTCTCGTTCGACTTAATCTCGTGATCCCACTCCGTTCTCCTCGAGAATCATCGGTGTGACTTTTGCGATTGAATCAGGTCGGCTGTGACGACGGGACGATTCGACTTCATTTCTTGAACGTGGAGAGACCAATCGTACAGCTGAAAAACGAACAATTTACCAGCGGCATCAAAGTTCTGCAATGGTCGAGAACGAAACCGTCAACTGTATACGTCTTGGACGATATGTCGCGGTAAGATTCCCTCGTGAAGTAACTAAAGTGACGGATGAGAGTGTGGAGAGAAAGCGGCGTAACGAACGACGAAAATTGTAAATCCGACAGAATTCACGTGTGGGATTTGAGCGAGAGTGACGTCTGTCCTATACATACGTTCTCCGTGCAAAAGTGGGGAAAGATAAGCAGCATGCAGCTGTCATCTTGCACAATGGAGCAAGATATGGCGAATCAGTACTTGGTAAGTTAAAATCAGCACGTACGTTGGCAAGAATTCCTTTACACAGCCTGAGCTCAAAAATGTGCGCATCTTAGGCTTTCGGGATGGAGTCTGGTAACGTGGAGGTGCATAAACTGAGGAAAAATTTCTACCACTCGAGGAGGGAAGAGTTTTTACAAGAACTCGACATCTTTTCGCGATATGTCTCGGTTACCTGAACGACACGATCACTATAATAAGTATTGATAACGAGGAACGAATTATAATAACCAACTACACCGGTAGTCTCGTAGAGTTGCATAAGAGTTCTGTCATGGTTGTCAGGATTCTGTGGTTGATTACACGAATTTTATACTTCCAATCTACACGTGCACTTGCAACGCAAACGAGGTGGGTGGTTCGGATAAGTATCGCTTTAGGGGTTCCCCATTAGTGTATTCCCATTTTCTAAACACAGTGATATCGAAGATTCTTAACCGGACTCTCTTACTCTTATTTGAATATTTGCTTCACGATTGTTCGGTGAATTCGTAACGGTGCCCGAAAACTGTTTATGCATGGCTGCGTTAAGGAGACTCTATTAGCGCTATGCAAACGCTGCTAAAATAGAAACCAATGCGCGATAGTGATAACAAACTCCACGGACAGCAGTAGCATAGCGTTGTGGTATTATCGCGTTATCGAGTCGTTTCCGCAATTTAAATATCTGTAACATTTCGAAAATTCCTTTAAACGCGGTTGTCCATTACCATTTGACAAGGTGAGATATCGATATCGCTATGTTTAGAGAGTCCCATTGGAGAATGGGACTGCATTAATGGAGTAATCCTCTGTACGAGTTGCAGATAACTTGTTACGTTTGGTTGGTAACGGGGTAGTCGGTTCTGATTGGTATTATAATTTCTAACGTTTGCGAATAACGAACGTATAACAGTGTCCTATCGCGCCGATGATAATTTCGAAGGTGAGAGTACAGTTTCAAGGTCGCGTAATCTCAATACAATACACACACGTACGAACCGATGTTGACTCTGTATACTGTACAAATGCGCGACGCGTGCGTCGACCGAGACTTTTGCCCACCTATTATCTGTACGTATAGTCAGCAGAAGACAGGTTGCGACATTCTCACCTGGACGAACCCGAAGACGCGTTCGGCTGAGAAAATTCATCTGCTGAAAATTAACGAGAGATAAAGATTCTCCTCTGTCGGACACGAACTTGATGCGAGATTGAAAACTTCTCTTTGAAAAAGAAAAAAAGCGCAACCTTCCTTCGATTGACTGACCATATCTTTCTATTGTATTCCGTCCGAGAGGATAAACGCCGTCCATGTAGATAGATAGCATTTATAACACATTTATACGTACATTTATATATATATATATATATAATATATATAGTGTATTGTATAAAATATATATCGTATATTTAAAGAGGGGTATATCACAACGGATACGGAGCGCTAGGAGTGTATAGCTGGAATATACCATGAATTTTATACACAGCTCGGTCTCTGCTTGACGTCTCGCGTGTTCTTTTCTTTATTTTTTATATATTCTCTTTATTTCTTTTATATAGGGTGGAGAAAAAGGTCGGACCCCTTGAATTACATGCTACACGCAACGATATTTCTGAACTGTATTCTAATAGAGAGCGCAATCACACATCGTCGTGCTAACAGCTCAAAAATCGACTCGAAGTAACGACAGCCACGCACAGGGAGAGTATCCCCGGAAGGGGGTGAGAGATCCATCTGCTCGCGGCACTGCAAGTCTTCTGTATCAGAAGATCCTCTATGATCTGGTCGTAACTGCGTACTCGCTGCAACTGGCGACCGTGCAACTGCAAATGCCGCGTCTCCTCCTGCGATGATAAAATTCACGCTCGTCATCATTCCTTACGACAGCGAGATTTACATTTATTTATCGTTCTTCGAGTGTCCGCGACGCTGTTGCATCTCAGCGCCGTGTATCTTCACGATCGAGAATAGAACAGCGCATCGTCGATTTCGCTCGCGGACGACTCGCGCACATGTGGTTACATTTCCGAAATGCACAGACGAAGTATGTAGCCACTCGGTTTCTCCTCCGGTGCGAAGCGTGCGGAGAATGCTGCGTGAAATTTGCTCACGAAGACGAGGAGACAGCCGTCGCTCGCGTAATAATGTGCGGCTACTGCTCTTGGGTCAGCCAGCTGCTGGCGAAGATCGATGCCGATGCGGCGCAACAGAGGGAGAGGAAGAAATCGGTGGACCCAGTCGTCATCGTCCACGAAGACGTCGGCAAGATTCCGCGATATGCGCGCAAGAGACATCGCGCGACGATTGCAGCGAACGACGACGAAGGTCGGCAACGCGGGGTCACCGCGGTGTTGAAGGACTGTTCGGGGGAACAGACCGGCATGTTGGATGTGGATATCGCGCGATCGCGATAACCGCGAGGAGAAGTGCGACGAATAGTGCCCTTCAGATGCACGCATTTCCCGTGGGCATGTTGTGTAACAAGGGTTACGTGTACTACGGCTGCGCCAGGAACGAGAAGTTCTCCGAGAAGATCGACGTTCTCGAGCGACCGCATGGACCGCATGTGCGGAATTTCCGGTTAGTCGGAACGCCGTGATTCCTTTTCTCTAGCTCCGAGGCATAATTCGACGTATTCCGCACGCATTCTCTCAGACGTACTCTTGCCTCAGCCAGCCAATTTGAGGCAATTTGAGACCGGCGGTTGCGTGTACATCAGCCGTCAATTTTCTCATGGCAATGTCTTCCGTCGCTTCCGTCGCACGGAACACACATGCAACTTTTCACATAACAATGCTTCGCATTCAACTTACCGGGAAGATCAAGTCGCGAACGTTGTTGTAAGGACCGTACAACGAGAACACGGGCGTCTCCATCTGCCCGCGGCTTGTCCCGAACAGACTGTCCATCTCGAGCAGCATCGAGTAAATCTCTTCGCGCCTTAGACTCGTTATATTCTCATGCGCAATCACCTAAGACGAGAAGAACGTCAGCGTTAACAATTACATGGTGATGAGTCCATGTTTGCGTTAATCTATTTGCATCTCCTTGGATTTGAAGCGTATGGAAAATATTTCGTTTCATGAGAATACTGAATTTCTTTCTCTTCAAGTCCACGTCAAATCAAATAAAATAACGTCAAATGTAATCAAAAGCTAATCTGAATACGCGATTCGATCTATCTTTAGTAAGAAATCAGACAGATATCTCTCCGTGATAAACAAAAGTGGAAGGCACGAAGGACGAAATGAGCGGATATCCTCTTGTGATGCGAACGGGTTAAATTCAACGTAAATCTCCTCCAGGAAAATCGAGCTCGAAAAGAGGAGAATTGTACCGCGCCGAAAGGCGTCCAAGTGAGCAAGCATGGACTTGTTTTCTGGACAGCGTCTGGCTCGTCCAAGCACAACAGTCTGTACCCCTTCTCGCTCGCGCCTTCGTGCTCCAGGTCGAAATTACCTGCAACGTTAAACGTTAGATACATAGAAAAATACAGGGAGCTGTAATGGTCGACCGCTTTACCGGTTTTCTTCTCAATGGCCTTCAGATTGACGAAGGCGACGTCAGCGAGGCCGGAAGTCAAGCAGTCGAAGGCGCTTATATCATCGGCCGCCGTTTCCCCTGCGGAAAGAGAAGATCGCAGCCTCGATATTCGCTTCATTCTTCTTCGTTTACCCGACTCGTGCGCGCGCCGGCCGGCCGGCCGGATTATTAGCGCTCTCGTAACAACGTCGGTTTCGCTATATGCGATTTACAGCGCATTTACGCATCGCGTGTCGCACTGTCGGCTTAACGAAGCGTGCGAATTTAATGGACGTGTGCAATGCCGGCCGTTCGCGTCGGTGCACATTGTGTTCGCCCGTATCTCTCTTTCTGATCGGTCGCGTCTGCGCGCATGCATACGTTTGTCCCGCTTCTCACCTTGTTTGCACAAGGAGTACAAATTAGCCGGCAACTCGCTCCTATCCTGATCGGTCAGGCCAAACACGCAGCTGTCCTTGAAGAACTTTGCAACAGCCTGCGTGTCCTGGCAGCCCCATTTCTCGGCTGAAGCGTTCCTCATCGTCGACACGAAAGCGTTCCAGCCTGACGAGACAAGAGACGATTGCAGACGATCAGTGTCAAAGCATTAGGCGCTGAGCTGAATTTCATTTGCATATATAGTCGTACCGACGCTTTCGTAGCCCGCGAAGCACGCCTTGGCAGCGCCTTCGAGATCTCTCAGGCTCCTGAATTTCGAGTCGTGTTTCACCACCGCCGCGATTCTGTTCAATTCCTGCTTCTTGTTCGATAACGCGTAGATGATAGGCTTCAAACCCTTTCTGAAAGAATTTTTCTCTTAATCGGGCTGGTAAAAGGGCCCAAAGCAGATCATTTCAAATTAAAAATTAAAGCAAAATTGACAACCTTCAGTTTTATCCTTCAGTTCGAGTCAGATCTCTACTTACTTCCTCGCCTGCAGGAGCTCTTCGGTCCTAGCGACGAAGATGTCCGCTCGTCGACTTCGCAGAGCATCCAAGCATGACGCTCTGTTAATTTCCTGAATACAGGAGATCGGCGGTTCCACGCCGTAAACGACGGAGGCTTCTCTCAGCCAACGACACTTGCGCTCCTCCAAATTAGACGCTACGCACCACTGCACTCGTCGCGAAGGTCGGCAAGTCACACGATTGTTGGCGCTCATGAAACCGGGGACTTTAGCCAGAGAGAACGCCATTATTAGAGCGGACGAATCGCAAAGGAGGATTTCGCACGTGTACGTCGAGTCTTCAAACGCGGTTGGAAATTTCCTAAAACTTCGATGTATCTCTATTTTCTCACTTCACGAGAGATTTCTCAGATGCTGTTCAATATGAGATATGAGATCAATCAACAATGAATTTAAAGTCCTTTCAACGGATTCTCAAGTGTGTGATAAATAGCATGCGTGAACGAACGTTCGACAGATATTTACGTATCGCGAATAATCGGCGAGAAACTAAATCTAGACGTCCCGTATTGCATATACATTACATCGTCGTAAGTAATCCTCGGGCGTTTCCAGGTTTTCTGTACTGACCGGAGAAATGTGATAGCCCTCCATCAACTGCAACACGCTCGTTTCCCAGCCGAACGTCGCGTTCTTCAGGAGGTTCATCGTGCGGGAGACTTTCTCGGCGATCTGTCTGGAGTGAGGCAGACGGTTTTTAATCTTGCGTATTGCTCTCCCATGATGGGATGGGATTCCACGAGACGTGGTCACGACGCTCACAAACGAGTGCGAACTTACGAACTAGCCACGATGACCGGCCAGGGTTTCGATAGCCAGACGCAAGGCTTGTCGTACTCGAGCGGCCTGGTGCCGCCGTCCGGACACAGATAGTTGTAATTCCGCTTGTCGACTTGCTCATCCTGCACACAGTGGGCCACAGTGGGCGTTAGTACGGCGAATCGCGCTACAATCCGTCGTGTTTCTTAGAGTGACAGGCGAGATTGGTTCTCCTTAAGTTGTTACATCGTCGTTTTGAGGAGACATCGCGGTTGAATTGACGACGAGTTAGCGTCAATTACCTTGAAGTGCACGAGAGTGTCGTCCAGCCTGACCCAGGCGATGTCGCCGACGTCTTCAGTGAGGCACAACAAGGCACCCTCGCGTCCGTGGTACTTGTCGTCGCTGTAACAACCGGCCGGGTTGTCGCACGCGGCACAGAGATTCTTGTACTTCGACTCTGCGACGCAAAGATAGACGCAAATAAGTGAATAAAATGTTGGCGGACGCATTTCGATTCTACGAATCACAAATGCGATCCTGAGTAAATTCTGCCGCATGTGCGTGTCTTTCGAATTGCGAACGCGTACTTAATTGCCCGTCGAATATCGTGTCCGCCGACCATGGACCAGCGACGCAAGCCATCTCGAAGTAATTGGACAATGTGTACATTCTATTCTCGAGCAGCGTCTTGTTGGGATCGCACTCACTGGGGATTACCCAGTACTCGAAGTACTAGAAACGATACGTTACGTTCACTACAACGAGAAGGTACAACTTTAATATGCGCGAACTGCTTGTTGGAGAGCCACTTACCATCGAGAAGGTTTTAGTCCAGTCGTTGCTGGTATCCAAGCCGGGATGACAGAATCGCCTGTCCTTCACGTCCCATATGTGTTTCACGTTTTTATGTACTAAAGCCACCATTTGAAAACGTTGCTTATCTAAAAGAAGACGCTACGCTCTTGTTTTGAACAGCCAGATATATTAATCTACATCGAGAGATGTACAGCGTTCACATCTCTTAGTGAAGAAAGCCGCCGTTAGAGAATAACTCGGAAGAACTGGGATACTTGGCGTATTCCGTTCGAATTTTCATTACCGTTTAAGAAGAGTCTCAACTCATTCGTGACTAGAACGTTGTACTCGTTGTAAGCCGCCGCTGCAACGAGGTCTTCTGGCTCCAATACCGCGAAATCGGCGTCGCCAACGGTCAATCGACGCAGACAGCTGAATCTAAATCAGTTTCGTCATGGTTTCGTACAAGGAATCGCATGGAACTTTTCGTGAAAATTCGTCGATTTATGAGCTGTGTACGATTATAAGTATAATATAATTATAATTGGTTTCTTCTTTCTGAAGAACAAAAGGACAGTATGCTTGTTCTGTAATGACAGCGACATTGTTGTTATCATCACGTTGCTATGTTGCAGCTTTTCTCATCATATACAAACATTGAGTTGGCCAATAAGTAACGTCGGATTTCGTTTCTACAAAAAAATTCTTTCCGCTGTTTTTAAAACAAAAGACTATTTGCAACGCGCATGTAATCTAAAAGCTGAGACGCACAATTTAAGCGATGAAAGTTTAGTCGATCGAATTTCGGTTTGCGATTCATTGTTAAAATGTAATAAGAGCGAAGCATATTTTTAAAGCGGATTGTTGGGGACTGGGGATAAAAATTAGATTGTTTGTAATAATGTGATACGAAGAAAAAACATTGGAATAAATCAGGACCAACCTCGTTGACCTTTCCCACAGCCGGTTTACATTCCAAGAAGGTCATATTACGTATATGGTAGGATTGGAAAGGAATACTGTTTTATGAGCTCCTACCGTCTAATCAGGACATTAATTCTGATAATTACCGTTCATAATTAGACAGACTGGTGGAAAACTTAATCAGAACTTTGCCAGCAGCAAAGGAGTAGTTTTCCACCAAGCAACGCGAGGCCACACATATCATCATAGACTCGGCAAAAAATGAGAGATTGAGATATTCTTATTCATATTCGCTTATTCATATTCGTATTCACCTGATTTAGCAGCATCACACCTATCGCGTTCTTTGCAAAATTCGTTTAACGGAGACAATTTTGATTCTTTAGAGGCCTGTGAAATGCATCTTTTGCTGAAAAAAGTGGCAAATAGTTCTGAGAGGAGATGGTATTATGAAGCTACTCTTGTAAGATGGCGAAAAGTCGTAGATCAAAATGATCGATATCATTTAATAAAATATTTTCTATAGTAAAAAAAAAAAAAGAAAATTACTTCTGTTTCTTACCGAAAAATCCGACGTTGCTTATTGGCCAATATATCTGCGCAACGATTATGTAATGATAACGAGAGTGTTGTTAAAGCTGCAGGATAGATCTAAGATAGGTTTTACCTGTCAATGTCCGTGACACACGCTATCGGGCTGTTTAGAGCAACTAGTTTCGGACAGAGTGAACGAACTCTCACCGTGGTGTGTGCGCTTTCGACGATGCATAGTCTCACTGAAACATCACACGTTGTTTCTGTTTAGCGCTGTCACACTTCGAAATGGATGAGAAATGTTTTCCTCGTCGTATCATCGATATTTCCGGATGTGTATGCGTACGTTTGTATGTACTAACGCAATTATTGATGTTCTTCATAATCTAGTGCTCTCTAGTGGAGAGAGGTAAAATTTCACGTTTTCTTACGTTAACTATATTTTACGTTATCTATTGTGTCTCGTGAGAAATTCGATCGCTTGACGTTGCTCACTTCGAAGTATCGTCTTTCCTTGCTTGCCACAACAGTACTTTCTCAACGTTGATTGTAACTGTCTAGACAAAAAGGTTGTTTAGAACAAAGTTGCCTCACCGGTATTTAACGACAGAAATTCCTGGTTATTCTACACAAGTCTCACGAGGAAAGACGTTTCGGTCCACGTTCGCTTCGCACGAGAGAGAACGCGGAAGGCGTCGAGAAGTTGGCCGTAACCTTCCGACTGCCTTTTACGATGATGATTCGCGCTTGTCATTGGTGAGTGCAATTTTACAGTTTAACGGTCCGGTAAAACTGGTGATTCCCTTTCCGCGAATCTCCTCGGGATTACCCGGCGCATTATTATTCTTGATCGCGTAGAATACCTCCGAAAATGACTTCGCTTCACACGCGCTCGCAATAGCGGCGGTATCGTTGCCACTTTCGAAAGGCAAGTTCTTCAAGTTCTTCCTCTTTCGTAAGTAAAATTCATTTGACTTACGTTTCTCGGCGCTGACGGATCCGTAGCAGTTTACGAGAGCGACGAGCGTGAAATAGTGCCAGACAGACGCACGAAGATCCATCATCAACCTCGGCCTTGCCGCCGTCCCTCTTGCGAGAAGAAATATTTCTTCGTATATATAAAATTTTACAAAGGAGTTCTTTGGATCAATGGAATCTATATTCTTGCCTAGTCGTCCAACGTGATTGTAATTATCATACAAACATTAGAGGCGCATGGCAGCCTTGTTATGCTAAGATATGCTTATCGCACGAACGGACATGTGCGCGCGGATCACACGTATGCTGGTATTTCGTATACAATTGTGATAACAAACGCGCACTCGCTTTAACAAAATCTCACCGTACAGATAACAAGAGCAAGCGGACCATTTCCGTTTCCGCCAGGTAGCAGCCGGATTATCGTCTCACGACTATCAACACCCGAGATTACACGAATTTCCCGACGATAATGTGACTCGGACGATCGACAAAAGTAACTGTGTTATTCCCGTCGGCTGCAGGAGAGCACGTTTCTCTACACATCGAAGCGCAAACGGCGAATCGCATATCATCGCCGCCTATACTTGAGTCTTTCTGCTGATACGACAAATTGACGACCATGTGAAACCGGCTGAACCGCCCTGTGACATCATACAACTTGCGCCGTTTGCACTCGACTGTAACTCAGCGAGATCGAATTTCCGTTTTGTGGATACTGACCGTAACATCCGCAAGCGTGTAATTGATCTAAACACAAATCTAATCGCTGACGATTCAGCTGACATTTTTTAATTATCGCGGATGTGCGAGGGTATCACGGAAATTTGACGGATGTCGAATTTTTTTCTGATAAAATTCGATTTCGCTGAGAGAAGAGTCTTCTTTCCGTAACCCTGACCCGACTAAGAGACCCGTCGGACTCAAGGAGCCGGTTTCGGCTTGCCGGTTTTCCCTGTATCTCTCTCTCTCTCTCTCTCTCCCCCTCCCCTCTCTCTCTCTCTCTCTCTCATTACCTTCACGTTGAGATTCTCGTTATACATGCGGTAGGAAAGCAGCGCGTCGACTCCTGCCCCGTTTCGTGCGCCACGCGAGTCTGGGAAGAAAGCGGCTGATGCATTAAGCGAATACGTCACAGCAATTATGACGATCGGATACGAGGCACCGAGTACATGTGAGGAAATACTTACACCGAACTTGAAAGCCCGATTCAGTACACGAGTCGGATGACACGAGTGACGGTCGCGCGATCCGTCCAAGAGCGATCTTCTCTCTCCGCTCGCTCGAACGGCTCCTTCGACTACTTGGAGTCCGGCTACTTGGATCGCGGACAGCTGACTTGACGTGATGTGCGGCCGACGTTGATCTGACCGAAAGTCCGACGCAGGGAACTGGAATCATTAAATCTATCTGGTGGGAGAGATCGAGACACGACGGACGCCACGAGAGAGAGAGAGAGAGACGCTCCGCGTAATACACACGAGCGTGTGCGACGTGTGCGCGCGCGTGTATTATGTTACGAAAGTGACAGAGTCAGCTACTCCCCGTAAGAAAATAGAGCCAAAAATAGAGCCGCTCCGTTCCGGCGGCAACGTTCTCGTGTAAAAATCCGACGCGCACATGCGTCCTTTATCGAGGCTATTGTTAGGCGAAACAGGCTAGTGAACATTGAAATTCAACGGGGACATCCCGGAGGAAGGATCGAGTCACTCGAGTCCGAGATAAGTTGCACTCTGGATGACTCACTTGAAATCTGAATCATATTACAGAAAGGACGGATAGTATAGAAGGCTAATTACATTTTTCAGGTCAGATCCTATGAAAAGTTGATTAAGTTCGATGGATTCATATTGATTATATCTTTTTATAATTACGAGTGTTGCGTTTAATTGTTGTAAAAGTTCGCCAGTTGCTAGAGGAAAGCTGATGTCGTGTAATCCGATTTTCCTTTCGTGAAAAATTCTTAGGAGGAAAATGAAATCTGAATATTTTTGATTACTATACGGTCGCTGTGTATATTCAATTATGACCGCTCGAATTTAATACGCTATTTTTATCTAAATATTATTTCTTTAACTTAATAAGGGAGATGATTAATCATATAGCAGGTCATGTGGAGAAGTTGTCTCACGTTCTTCCTTTATAACTAACAAAAATTTTACCAACGGTTATCTCTTTACGTCGCTGTTTTTCCGCTTTAGCGAAGAAGATGCGATCCGTTTCTGATCGAACTGCGATTTGCGTATATATTCATCATGCACGTGATTCACAACGCTTATTAAAAAGGTCGCAATTGCGCGAATTCATACTCATCGTTCTTATTCTTTTACGACTTGGCACGCACTTGGCACGCATTTGCTGCGCGATTTTAATTCGCGACGAACGAGTTATTGAATCAATGGGCGTACACGCGTACGATAAGTAATATAATAGATAAATTGTAACAAGCGTATTCATACGGATGAGTCATAATTAACTGCGTGCAACGAGATAAGACTTTACCGTTCTCAATGCAGGCAAACGCGTGCACAGACTCTGCAATTAGAGGATGAAATATTGCATCGTGAAAGAGTTATCATTTATGAATACAATACTCACACAATACTTCCTCTCCTCTCCTCTCTGTTTCTTTCTCTCTCGCATGGCAGCACATTATATGTGATTGAAGAGACACACCGAGAAAAATTTCTAGTTGAAATTCAATCGCAGGCATGATCGTTTCCAAGACGACATAATCAGTCGTCAGTATTAACAATGACTAGTACAATTGCGTGACATGGTGTCAGGTAATGCCTCGTCTGTGAAAATACTTTGGCTTTCATTCGATCCTGAAACAGAGTTATTTGTCTTTAACAACCTCAAGAGCATTTCTCGACACTGTAGAGACGAAAAAATTACGTGAATATTCAATACGAGTGCAGCTTTTTATAACACGTGGCACAAATTTTTCTACTCCTTTATAGTGAATTCCGTATGAAATATTTTTAAATATAATAATTAGGATCTCATGACATGTACGACGCGACATTTTCATCTTCACTAAAGAAGACTTTTTCGTATATGTATGTTATCGACGGCCGATAACACAACAATCTGCTGTTCTTTTATGTCGATAAAGAAGCGACCTCCAAATTCAACATTACCGAGCGTAATAAAAGTATATTAAAAATCATATACCGCTTTTGAACGATATCACGAGAGACATTGGTTCGTAGAAAAATTGTTAATCTATATCTATATCCTCTTGCATTTCCCTCGTAATTGAGTCTTTATCAGATAACGATGTTGTATCATCATAAAACCGGAGTGTCTCAATATCGCCGAATGTTCTTCAAGCACTGTTTTGTGGGCTAACTTAGCAACAGCTTGTTAGCAACGTTCTTCTTAGCAAATATGTGAAGGTAAGTCATCGTTTGTCTCGACTTTCTCACCTTCAGTGCCGATTTTTATAGAGAAAAAAGTTTATGTCAAAAACAGAAGAAACATTGCACATAAATGGTATTAGTGTGTTAAAGTAAACTTATAACAGCAAGTACTTAAAAGTAAAATTACACTTACTTTTAAGCATGCATTCACTAGATTCTTTTCTTTTCTTTTTACATAGGTGTTGTCTCTCAGAGATTATAGAAATCGCTCTTCCTTTGTCTCCTACTAGGTTAATGAATTTGTTGTATCTTTTGCTTCAGTAGTTAGAATGACGTGCGATTATTTGTATGACTATGATTTGTATGACTTATTTGTATGAAACAGTACGGAAACTTATCTATGCTTATCATGACACAGACGAGTCTTGCACGTGTCAACCTAATGACATCTACCAAACGTAAAAATAATCTCATTTGATTTTCGACAGAGCTGTAACAAGCTGACTAGTACCTCTGGTCATCCTATCTCTAATCTTTTCAATCATGCTGTAACTGACTGTAATATCTTCGCGTCTGTTTTTTAACGACATGTGTGACGGTCCAGTTGTAACAGGTCTTCTACAATAAGCCATTAGTCATAAAACGTAAGTAAATATCACAGTCGATAATTTTTCGAAATAATCAACTGTGATTGGTCAATTTGCTTACTACTTATGACTAACAGCTTGTTGTAGAACGCGCTTTAATCCTGATCCACAACTTTGCTTTAAGCCGTAACCATAAGCAAATCGATCGACCATAATCGATTAAATAATCGACTGTGATTGGTCAATTTGCTCACGACTTACGGCTTAAAGCCAAGTTGTGGACCAGTGGTGCGATTCTGTAACTCGTTATTGGAGTTAACGACAGTTTCGTTATTGTTGCGCAACTTATCTACGGTATACATAAGCTGCGCAACGATAACGAAAGTGTCGTTAACTCCAATAACGAGTTACAGAATCGCACCACAGGGGTCCTATTCTTGAACTACTTGCATATACATAAGTGGCAAGTTTCGACTAATCGCAATGGAAAATCCCTAGAACCGTATACTTGACAGTCGCAAGTGAAACGCATACGCAAATTATCATTCGCAACGCAACGAATGGGTAATACCATCCGTTTCTCTCGAAACGTATGTGATACGTTACGCAAAGTACAAAAAGTGGAGTATAAAGGCTCGTCTACAATAGCTGTAAAAGTAAGGCTGTAAGGCTGTAACGTAAGCTGTCAGCGAATGAAAATATTTCATTTCGTGCCTTGCAACCTTACAGCCTTACTCTTACAACTAATGTAGACGAGCCTTAAGAGTACACATAGAAACACACTGTTATTAAGAAGAAGAATAATTCAACGCTAAGACGGCTAAAAGAGTGGAAAATAATAGCTGACTTTACATATCCGTAAGAGAAATAATAAATAGAGAAATTTAAGAGAAAATAGCATATAAATTTCACTGCATTTTAATTATAGAGTAAAATTGTGTAACAATAATGGATTTAGACGACATAATAATAAATATACCAGTTATAAATGCGTTAGAACATGCTGAAATAATGGAAGAACCAAGAAGATTTTTCCATATTAGTTCCATATTTTCCACTTTGTTCTGTTGGACGCAGCCAATTAAAGTTCGTCGTATCGTATTTTTGGTCGATATTTGCAGAAAGTACATATGTTTTCCAATGTTGTCAAACACAACGGAAAGCGTATACGTTTCTAGTTGCGAATATTACACAATTAAATTCAAGAATACCGTGTCAGAAACGTATGCGCTTATTTACTATTCGCAACGTGCGTATACGTAAAGTTGCGTATAGATTCAAGAATAGGGCCCCTGGATTATTATTTTTCATAAAATGAGCAGAAATAGCTCATATTAAAACATAAAAAAAAATCGAGAGATCTTTCGATTTTTTCGCACAAAACTTTTAACGGTTTCAATATGAGTCAGTCTTCTATTTTAAAAAATGACCATGTAATTGTAATCGTCAATAGTCAGCGGCCATACATACACATATCGATAGCAATAATTACTAGAACTACAGCCCGAAAACGGCTCAAACACTTTTCCCCTCGGTGCGCGTTCACTCATCTGACTTTTATAATTAATAACTTGACATTTATTATGAATATCGCAAAACGATATAGAGTTCTTTTGTTCGCTTTAAACCGTTCTACACTGTCTATATACTATAGCACACTTGTTCTGGGACACTCTGTATATCTGTTGTTATTAGTCACACTGTTACATCGTCTGTACCTAAAATGAGTCAAAGGTTGAGCCTGAATTTTGAAATAAAAGGGAAAGAAGAAAGAGTGTGATAGGAAAAAGAATGAAACATATTAGATTAAACGAAGAAGTCCGAATACCGTTAGGCTCAACGTACGTCCAAGCTCTTGCTACGGCTCTGAGTTGCTTATCCCTCCTCTGAAATAATTTCACTTGTTCTGTATATCCCTATCGTCACGCAAGTCAGTTGTGCATTCTATCTTCGAATATTTTCCTGAGCTGATAGTCAGACAATTGACTGCGTTCAACAGAAGCCAGTGATTAGTAAGTGCTCAATAATGATTATTATCCGCGATTTATATCTCTTTAGAGCTTCTATAGAGTTGAAAAAATGATATGCTAATTAGAGGCAATATTCCAAGTATCGATTTGTGGTGGAGTTGAACGTAACGATCAAGAGTGTACATTTAAAAAGATACCAGGAAAGTACCACATTTTGACATTCAGCGCGCAGGCGTGCTGAAAATGTTTTCAGATAAATAAGTAATTAATATCGTGGAAATTGTGTGACGCATGCATATACACATGACGAGCTAGCGGGCATTCGTGTCATGAGCAAACGAAAAAATTGTTCTGAAGGCCGGGTTCTAAAAAATACACGTCGCGATGATACTTGTTGGCTCGCAGCATTTCGTGACGCCATATTGGGATTCGTTTGAAATTTGTGCGGATGATATGTCGAAGTTCGATATATCGTGAGGCAAGCGAAGGAGGTAGATGAAAGATTACGTATATCGTTCAATAGAACGAAGTTAACGGGTCCTGGTAAAATTCACAAGCAGTCAATCAAATCGTCAGATCGTTGATCGATTGTCGAGAACTTCGTTTATTTAACAATTCTTGTTTGTAATGTTATCCTTTTATCGTCAGAATTTGTAACATGGCGTCAACTTAACACATTCTCAAGGGAGCAAATACAAAGTGGTGGATTAACAAAAGTCTGTTGGACATTCCAATTTTTTATCTTTAATCAGGCGGAAAAGATGAAAATTAATTATAAGCAGCTGCCTGTCAAGGCGCATTATTTTTTTTTCATGGCGGGTGAGTACATGAGAAGTTATAATTATTTCTCAATTATTTGATTCAAAAAATTTCTAAAATAACACTTATGAACTAAAAATTAAATAACTTAAAAACTTTTTAAATAATACTTATTAATATATATATATACATATATATATATATATATATATATGTACAACGTAATTTTTATTATATATAATATTTAATAATATGTGAAAGTGTGATGTTTCATTATTTTTTCCAGCGATGGGCCCGATTTTACCATTTTTATCAGTTTACGGCAAACAATTGGGCATTTCTCCGTTAGTTATGGGCAGCATCACCGCAGGTCTACCTATATTCTTCCTGATCGCCAAATCTGTGTTCGGCTTTGTTGTGGATTATTTCCGCTCTCAGAGAAAATTAATCTTTATGCTGCTGCTCGCCGCGACAAGCGGCTGTTACATTTTAATGTACTTTTTGCCTATATTGCCAGGCCCGCTGCTGCCAGATCATCACTTTCAAAACGTTTCCTGCGCGTCTTTATCACCCTGTGATATGAACCATGTAAGCTTTAGTAATATCGTACGATAGTCTCGTGATAATACACCAGATCTTAATATTTGTGCGACACATTACGATGAATGACTGTGAAATACTCTTGTTTTAAACGAATTTGCAGTTGCTTCTACATTTTCAAAACGCGTGTAATGGGAGTACGTAAAGATCGAAACGTTGAATCGTGTTATTACGGTATCCGATTATTAACATTTCTGACTATATCTTTGAAATATTATTTATTATTTATTTAAGCATACTTCAACATTGGCATTATGTAATGGTACAAAAGACACTACTTGCCACTGGATGTGCAAGGATTCCAATTTTTCTATGCGAGTATCTTTTCATGTAGCTAAAGGAGAAGCAAGCATCTCGCCGAGTACAACATGCTTGTTACATATGAACGAAACGTCATCATGTTCGCACAGTACGAATTGCGAAGTCACCTGCGACAATTTCGACGACGATCGTTGTCTGTACACGTCCATCACTTTTTGGGGCTTTATTCTTTTAATGTCTCTCGGGACCATTGGTTTTAATGTTTCTAACAGCATAAGCGACGCGATTTGCTTCGACGTGCTAGGTAATATACTTTAAATCTATGTTGTATAAAGCTTTCACATATCAACATATGGAAAGATTGCGCATAATTCACCATCGCTGTTATCTTTAGGCGAAGGCGGAGAAATGGGATATGGTAGGCAGCGTGTATGGGGTACAATCGGTTTTGGCGTTGTGGCTTTTCTAGCTGGCTACACCATAGACTTGTGGTCGCAGGGAAATATCTACAAAGTTTACACACCAGCTTTCCTCCTTGTGTTCGTGTTCACCTGCGCTGATTTGCTTTGCTGCCGAAAATTGGAGGTAAGCTATGCGTCACAGAAGAAACGAAGATAGCATGTAAAATAGCATGAGATTTTAGTCTTACGTTTTCACTTTCCGTTGTACATCTCTTGTTATAGCTGCCACTTACTTCAAGACCGACCAACATATTAAAGGATGTACTTATGTTACTGAGATTGAAACACATCGTCATATTCTTGTGTTTCGCTACATTTGCTGGTATTCTTGATGGTTTTATGATTTATTTTTTACTCTGGTAAATTTTTGTTCCATCTTTATTGATATGTATTATATTTACTGGCGGATATTTTCCATTACCGCACAATTGCTTAATAGAATTTAGTAAATAAAATCAAGAAGACATGAATTATATTTAATATCATCGGTTTCGCTAGGTACCTAGAAGATCTCGCTATGGCAACTGGTTATATGGGTGAAATTAAATTGATCGAAGGTCTAATAGTAGCTGCAGAGACTCTCGGCGGCGAGATAATATTCTTTTCTTTATCTGGTATATTCAATATTTATGTATCACATATAGAGTTTGTTGCTTAAATAAAAATCGCTCTTAGAATTAGAAATATCTTGCTCATGGAGTATCCAATGAATATATTCGTCTGCTTTTCAGGCAAAATATTGAAGAAATTTGGATATGGTTATACTTTTACCTTCTGTTTCGTATGCTATGCACTGCGACTGGGACTGATATCACTAGCGCCAACACCATGGTGGGTACTTCCAGTGGAACTGATCATGCAGGGATCAACATACGCACTCTGTTACACAACAATAGTAGCATATGCGAGTGCAATTGCACCTCCCGGGACATCAGCCACCGTTCAAGGGGTTATGGCAGGAATGGACGATGGATTTGGTAAGTACTTCTCGATATAGTACAGAAGAAAAACGTTTCGTCGCGAGATTGGAAGTACGTTACACAAAATTGCAATTATAATGGAAAGATTTTGCTGATATACACGCAATTACACGCGAAGAATTATTAACTGTAATGAAAATAATTATAATAAACAAATAACATTCTCTCGTAAAAACGAGTCTCTGTTTTGTGCAATGCAATTATAATATTTTCAGGATACGCTCTTGGCAGTTTGATAGGAGGTATCCTGTACAAGAAAGTCGGCGGTGCAATAACGTTAAGGATATTTTCAACGTTCGCAGCAGTTTGTGCTTTAATGTACTTTATTCTTCACACTTTGTACTTAAAACATAAAATGTCAGGTGAGAAATGAAATAATTTTAATCGTTAACGCGCTCCAGAAATTTTCTCTCAGATATTATGAGAGACAGAAGCCTCAAAATGTTGGTTTTGTTGCAGACACACGTAACAAAATTGAATTTAGAAAGCCCGACGATGCACGAGAACACTGCGTAGTTGCAGAAACGTAGTTTTATGTATTTTGAAATAAAAATAGAAAGTGTAACGTAAAATATATATTGCAATTATTAGAATAATAAGAATACTCTTCATGTCTATCCAAGGGAGAAATGGAAGATTGAATAGACGTCGATTCGATGTCTTTTAAATGTCATCGACGATTAATCGATGTCGAATCGAGTCGATTCGATCTTGTTTCTCTCTGGGATATAAGTGCCATTTTAATGTATATGGTCTGACTGTGTATATTTTATATGCGGATTTAAAATGATACAATATAAACAAAATATTATATAATATAATATATAATAATGTATCTTCTGTTTATTTAAAATTTGAAGTAAATGCAGATTTCCTGTAAAATAGAGAAAAATCGATATGGATTATGTGAATCATATTCAAATATCAAAATGAAAGAAATCAATGTATTTAAACGGAACATGCTACAAATCCTGTTCGCGCGCTTTTTCCCGCTAATCTATTGTCAAATTCTGTCGGCAAAACATAAATCAAATGCGAAAACAGATATCTGTCGATAGATTCTGATTGAATCTGTCGCCAATTTGTCGATAGGCTGTTAACAGAGATTGTTTATTATATATATATATATATATATATATATAATATACATACAGGTGGTGCACACAGCATATATAGGCTAGGTTTGAAGAGCGCGCTATTAGCACTGACCACGCGCTAATGCATTATTGTATCCTTGTTGTATATCTAATAAGCGACAAAGTAAAGTAAGTGTTAACGTTGAAAGCGTGTATATATAGTGGTCAACATGACGCGTACTACCTCTGTCGCGCATGTCACGTAAGAGGGTAAAGATGACAGATCGTACACTGAACATCACTGCGTTTCCATCGGAATTGTTGATAATAATTTTCGAATATTGTAGTGCGTTTGACTTGGTGAAGCTCACTCAAGTATGCAAACGATTTCACGAAATAATAGAAAAAGACTTAATCTGGTTAAAAAAGAGCCATTTACCTCTCGTTACGAATCAAAAGTCGGGAAGGTTTCTTGAAAGGTTTGTGTTTAACCTCTATTTGAATAATAAAGTTATACAATGGCTGTTTAAATGTATCAAGCGTTGTCTTTATGATTTCTACAAAGTGACGCGCAAAAGAATAGTCTGTTTTGAATAACCTAATATTAATAAACATTATATTAAATATAATAAAAAGATCATTCTTATTACAGCCTTTTTTAATATAAAATATACAATAAAATAATTTCCAAATGTTTATTCTTGAAAGAACTTGTCATCGATACTAAGTCTAAATTATTTTTGATGTGTAACTCTTGTGTAATTAGACAATAGCATATCCATCAGACATTAGTAATTATGATCTAAAGTGATACAATCCTTGCAAATATAGTCTTGTATAAAACTGATATTGAAGAATACATGTTATTTTCCAGATGTAATCGAGTATTATGTAATCGCTCCAAGTGGCGTATATCCTATAATTGGCAATATGGGAAATATACTAAGAAACTGTTACATCAACAATATATAAAAGTAATACCAAAGCTACGCATGAGATCACATGAACTTTGGTGGTGTGGTAACAATCTGCTCTATGGCTTCAAACGTACAATACCTTTCAGTATAGATAATGTAATATTTAAATGTGTCAATTCTATATGCGATTTTAGCACATTTGTTCTAATGAGAGATTGTGTCATAACTGGTGATAGGTGTGTATTGATTCACAAGTTACCATGGATAAGTACTATTTAAACTGTGATATTGTACTTTTTATAACAAAATTCTTTGGGAAAATATTTTGCAGTGTCGGTGCTTTAAGGTATTGGTCATACGATGAATGTAAAAGGATCCACGTTACAAGCGCTCATGCTGATGACATTATTACTATGGACGCAACATCAGAAGTTATTCTTACAAGCTCAGCTGATAAAACAATAAAGGTGAGACTCGGAAAATTTCTACATAATAAATGATAAGGCAGGATATAAAATATGTTAACTATTTAGGTATTTCCTGCACCTGTGAAAGATGATGAGCTAAAGTGTTACGATTATTATTACTTTTCTATACCCATAACAGATAAAGTTTGGTCAATTAAAGCTGATGTCAAAGGCACGAAGTTTGCCGTTGGCACATCTGCGAATACTATCAAACCCCTCCATATATATGATATTGAACAGTAAGTTTAATTAATTATCGAGAATTGTAAGAAGTATGCGCACGGTACATTTGTGCGTTCGCGAATATAGTTCGATGTGACGACGAGTGATTTGCAATAGAACTAATTGAAAGATTTTCAGATGCGTATGTTTAATGCAGCTAAATCATAACTGGCGATATGGTGCTGGGATATTGGACATGGTATGGGAGAATCCACACACTCTACTCACTTGTGGCTACGACACGTTTATTCGAAAATGGGATTTGCGGTAATGCTCGTGTTTACGCAATTACCCCGTTTAGTCATACTCCCAAATACAACTTCAACAATGATTAACGATTAACGATTTCAGATGCGGGAAGTGCGTAAACTCATGGGCAGATCCAACCGATGCAACGTTATATTGCATCTCATCAGATTATAATCATACCATGATTACGGGAACGCAGTTTAATTGCATGGCTGTTCTTTGGGATCAAAGACAACGTGAATACATGCAAGTTTGTATCAACTCCAAATTGACATGATACTCGCTACTTGATATCTAAGAGATTGTCTAATATAAATTTTCCATGCTTCTAGCTCTACTTTATGAAATGTCCAGGGAATTACGATAAATCACCGATCTATTCTTTAGACTTTGACAATATTAATCTGTATAGCGCCACAGATAGATATCTAGTCGAGCTGAATTTTTATGAAAACACAAAACAATCGTTGAACTATAATGGAGTAATAAAATAATGAGAGAAGTAGCTAAACAAATATGCAGTTGTAGAAACTAATTGTACATATATATATATATATATATATATATCCCTCGAAAGAATATACAGACAAGCGAATGAAAATGGAGGCAAGATGATATACTATTATGTATTTCCTTGAGGGATATTGTATAAAAAAGATATTTTTTATACAGTTCGGTGATAACATTATAATTATTATCACATTTTAAATATGTACTTAATAAATTCCATTTTGTGTACTGTAACAACTTTGCAACAGTTTATTTATATACGATACATATATAAAAGCAAAGATAATATTTCCCATGCATATATGTGTATAGCACATAAGCGTAACAGTTACAAAATATAAAAGAGCAATACGGGGCCAAAACGGGAATTAATAATAAGATTCGCGCCAGTACTCGATCTTACAACGAAAATTAACGTCTTATCGACACCACAAAATAATCGATGTAACAAATTTCGGATGTTACCAAACGTACTATACAGGTACATCTGTTACCGACACGCTGTACAGACATTGCATTTCCCATGTAGAGGTTGTCTCTTAGAATAAAAAAAAAAAAATCACAAAAGCTAAGCATCGCGATATTCATCATTCGTTATAACGCGCTCGCAAAATATAACCCTCAACCGCGTTCTTTTCGCGCGCTTAAACATATCAATTTTGCCTAGAGATATAGTTTTTATGTGTATACCCCAAAACCGATATAAGTATCTCGTTAAGTAACCATCTCAGAGAGAATGCGTTCTCTTGAGACAGGAATCTCATCAAAGCATTGTTCTAATCATATAATTTAGAATGCCGCCGTGTTTGAAATAAGTCAAGTCGACTTCCGTGTCGAATCGCACGTTCACTTCGAACTTCTTGCCGTCGTCGGTGGTCACGGTGACTTTCTCCCCGGGTTGACAGTTCTCGGGAATCGCGATGTTGTACTCCTCGTAGCCCGTTAGTCCCAACGATTCTGCATTCTGCCCGGGTAGGTATTCTAGCGGTACAATACCCATACCGACGAGATTGGACCTGCAAATGAATTTTATTGTAAAATCGCAAATGAGTGTACACGATATTGCGATGAAAAAATATTCTTTGTACTTGTTTCCGCGTTACACATGTACATTATAGTACATTATGCAACGGGAGGACGCGTTTGTAAGATAGTTTGAGCAACTTGCCTGTGTATTCTCTCATACGACTCGGCTATAACCGCACGGATGCCAAGCAAATACGGTCCCTTGGCGGCCCAATCTCTGGACGATCCCGATCCGTATTCCTTACCAACTAGGGCGATCAGGGCGGTTCCATCCTTCTTGTATCTCTCGGCAGCGTCGTATATATCCATCTAGATAACAATTGGCCAGTAGTTGTTACTATAATCATCATATCTCTTAAAAGTTATTCAAACGCGGGTATTCCGTCTTGAGTTATGCTCGATGTAGTGCATATATTTCTAAAAAGTACGCGCGAGATGAACTTTAAAATCGCCGCTGATGTGCATATGCGACATGTACCTCTTCTTTGGTTGGAATGTAGATCGTTCGTGGTCCCTGTTTACCGAGAAATTTGTTCAGCAGACGGATATTTGCGAACGTGCCGCGCATCATCACAGCATCATTTCCTCTGCGCGAGCCATACGAATTGAACTCCTTTGGTGTCAAGCTGAAGATAAGAACTAATGAGACATATTGCCAGACGTCTCTCTCGCTTTTTTCTTTCTTTTTATGACGTATCGACGAACTTACCCGCGACTTGTGAGGTATCTCGCCGCCGGCGAATTACGCGCAATGCTACCAGCCGGACTGATGTGGTCGGTCGTAACAGAATCACCGAGATTCACGAGTGCTCGCGCTCTCGTGATCGACTTTATCGGAGGTAGTTGCTACAATAGAGATCAAAGAACAGAGAAAATGTCATGAGAGCTCTCCTATGTGAGAGTGAGCGGATAAACGGTACAATTCGAACGACTCATCACCTTCTGCAAGTCATCGAAGTAAGGCGGACTTTTGATATACGTGGAGTTACAGTCCCATGGATACAGCTTGCCGTTAGGGGCAACCAAGCTCGCCCAACTGCTGCTGCCTTTCTCGATTTTCTCGTAAACTTCTTTGAACATAGCTGGAATAACATGCTTCTGCTCTACGGCTTGAACATCGGCCCTGGTCGGCCATATATCCTGTAGATACACCGGGGTACCGTCGGGTTTGCAACCTAAAGATTAGGAAATAAGCAAAGTATGTAAAAACTCTCACTTTTTTCTCCCTTGTGTTCTTTTCTTGTTGTTTCACCTAAAGGATCTTTCTCAAAGTCAATGTCCACAGTGCCGGCGATAGCATAAGCTATCACCAAGAGCGGAGAGGCTAAGTAGTTTGCCCTGGTGTTCGGGTGAATTCTACCTTCGAAGTTCCGGTTACCCGACAGAACCCCGCAGCAGACGAGTTCATTCTGCAAGCAAAATTAACATTAAATATAGATGTATAAGTGACGATAAGTATATAATGTATACAACGTATTGTACAAACGTGCTGATAAAACATGCCAATCAAATACAAACGATATAACGCAACTTGACCGAGTCGATCAATTTTCTTACATCGGATAACGCTGAATTTTGGACGATAGTTATGTATGCTGATTGGTTTCAACGTGAATCATTCTTCAACTCTGTAAGAGGCAAAAAGGACCATCGTATAAGATTTTCGAAGCTTAGTAAACTTTACCTTTTCAATAGTTTGAGTAATGACGTCAGGGAGAGGACCGCTATTGCCGATACAGGTCATACATCCGTAACCCACCACGTCGAATCCCAACTTCGTCAAGTACGGAATTACTCCGCTTTCTTGGAGATAATAAGTCACTACTCCGGAGCCGGGCGACAATGATGTCTTGATGTACGGCGCGACGCTCAAGCCCGCTTCGACTGCCTTCTTAGCGAGAAGACCTGAAGCGAAGGGATATCATTAGAGCATTTACTTTTGTAAAGCGGTCGTCGATTTCTGAACAAAAAATATTCAACTTTATGGAACAAACGCGATAAGGCAGTATGATAATTTCCTGGCGATGTCGTACCTGCTCCAAGCATAACGCTCGGATTGCTGGTGTTCGTACAACTGGTGATCGCCGCAATAACCACCGAGCCATGCTTCAGCTTGTATTCTTTTCCCTCATATTCCAACGCACCTGCGGAATTAATTTTCGCTTCGCTTATGCCGTAACCCTTAAAGCCTATCTGCAACAGAAAATTGTCGTTTCACAGCATATTTCGTTTTCTACGGGATTACTTGAATATTGAGTCATCGACAAGAATTCTAGTTCTTTTTTTTACAATATAAATTCTATTATGCTTATCGCAATTAAAATAATCCTATTAAACGAAACGACCTAAAAGACCGTATATATTTATTAACTATAAAATAAATTAGGCCATATGAAACAGACGTTACGGACAAATAATTAAAATCATGAGTCGTAAATTCCGTTTCCACGCACTTGTGTGCGCTTCTCGATGTATCTACGAAATAAAAAAAAATGTAGATGTATAAAAATATACAAATTTCGCCAGAGGCTATACAATAGAACGATATAGATAACGATAAGCAAATAATCGTGCGGACCTTCTTTTTGTATTGATACGCTAATATTGTTTGTTATCGTCAAGTCGCTGTTATTTAGATATCTTAATTTATAAATTTGACGAATTCAATTAGCGGGCTCTGCGGCGTAATGGATTCATTGTCCGATAAACGATTTGCTGAAGAAGCAATGTGAAATCGCGAGGATCTTTGGGCAATCGCGAGGTCTATGACCTCGCGAATATCTCACGTGCGCGCGATTCGGCAATGATCTTCGATGACACACACATTTTCATGCGATACAAACGAGTGTCGTACTTGTTTCATTCACAGTGCAATTATAGCAAATTATAACGATAAACGACACTTGCTCGCATCCCCGTTTTTTCCGAAATTATTTATCGTCATATTTATCTTACGAAAACATCCAAAATTATACTGTGGTCATTTCCTCAACTTTTAGCAATATTGATCACGTTTTAATATGAATCTGAATCTGACAGATCTCAGGAATGGCTATCACTTCCTTGGAAAATGCAAAATCCAAAAGTCAAAAATTCCAAAATCCAAGGATCCAAGGATTTGTATTCGTTTCAGCGATTAGCCGAGAGAAATAACTTCAATTCGACCGATTATTCGTTGCACCAGTGTATGAATCTGAACTGTCGACACAAATTTTACTGATAAGATGAGTGAGGCAGAAGAAATGTTGCAAGAAGAAGCTGCGAGTATATCAAGATTAGCATATTGCTATTAAATACAAATATAATTGTACGAAGAAGCACTTCGGTAGATGACACTGTTGTTTGCTTGACAACAACGTCGTCAACCGTTCACAAGGATTACATTAATTATGATCGATAAAAATGAAAGAACTTTCTCCACTCTTCAAGGAAAATTCTCCATATCGTTTTTCGCGAATTATCCACCTTTGTGCTCTGCATGTCATTTCTGTGATGCCTAATTGGAAATTCGAGTCCGCACCGTGCATACCTGTACGTGCAAGTTAAACGGCGGCTCGTTTGCGACGAAATGCCTGAGCTTTGCGAAATGAATGTAATAGGATGTCGTATCAGCAATTTCAGCACGAGCTGAATACGTCTTCCAGAACTTATGCGAAGTGCGAGCAAAGACTCCTGTGCTCTCTAACGAGGCGGAAAGGCAATATCGATCGACGGTACGTGCGAATTATCTTTTTCCTTCACAAATCCATTAATTGTCGCTGATCTCTTGCGTTTCGAGGAGTTGGAGGAACCAGAAGTGCGTTGCGAGAAGGGTTCGGTAATCTGACAATAGCAGAAATCTCAAGTAGCAGGATAATTTTATCATAGGTGATTTCGATTTTATAACAAAGATACTCTTCATGTAAGAGGCTCCTCGTGACTTCGTAGAGTAGTGACAATGGATTATTTTCAAATTAGCGAGTAAATGGAAGAGCGCGTTCTGTTGTAATTATCGACTTGCTGATTTTAAATAAATGTAGCTTCCTTATAATTGAGCTTTTTCATTTCAAAAGACGACGTTGATGCAACTGACGATAAATAATGAGAGTTTTATGATAATATGTTGACGTCTTTAAATATGGATGACCTAATCGAACATAACGATATCGTGGAAAAATACAACATGTATTTAGAATGAAGAGACAGTTGAAATAAGGGAAGAAAGGAGGACTTGCTAAACTTATAAAGATATCGTTGACGGAAGTATCGATTAAATTCAATGTTCACATTGTTCTTATGAAAGATACAGTGCGATAAATGAGGCGAAATTAGACGATAGTCCCCGGAAGTGCGCGGCAGTATTTCAACGTAAACGTAGAATATACTTTATCGACCTTTAATCAATCCTAGCCATTCCCGGCCGCTGAATCTAACTGTGGAAAGGCGTTGAATTTCACGCGGATGAGATGTCGGCTTTGTGATTCATGTGAATGAGTTTCAGCAAATGTCCATGCCGTCACAAGCCGGTAATGCGATGCCACTGTTAAACATTTGGAATAAAAATCGATCGTCACGTTCTTAAACTTGTAAACTTGCATTGTGCCCGTCCGTCGAGCGATCATTCGTCACGATTCGTTCGCCGGGTCAAGACGAACCGGCTTCACGACGTGGGGTGAATTCGTGCGACGTGTTTTACTTTTCTTTTTTTCGGAAATCGGGATTTCGAAATCGTTGCTCGTCAGTAGAATAGTATGCGCGTAGAATTAGACTTAATCGACGTTAGACGATTAAAGAAAATAACTATACTATTTTGTCTAATGGCCGGGAAATTTAGTGATAATTTGGTCATTCGGAAAGTTCAGGGTGCTGCAAACAGTGGTGGACACAGGTGGGGGCACAGGTATATAAGTAAGTTCGATGAACAGGAAAGGTCATTTTATAGTGTGAGTAGTACATTGCAAGAGCAACTCAGACACTCAGACTCTGACCCGAAGTTATGGGAAGTTACGGATCCCGACGGTCGTTGGACACAGACGATTTCTAACATGTGAGTATAAATAGGTTTTAAATACAGGCGATTGTACTTGTATTTTAAGTAATCGACGAGAAGAGAAGACCAGAAAGATTTTCTTCGGGGATCAGCCAAGTATCTTAGGAGCTATTGTTAGATGAAATCTAACCAGCGTGATGGATATAAAAGCAACCATCACCGGGTTAAGATTTCATAAATATTGGGTTCCTCTACACCTACGATCCTGCTTGCCACTCGCTCGAGTATCCTTCGCTATTGGAGGTGGAAACGGTGTAGTCATACGGTAAAGTGAAGGTATGACTAGATCGTTTATTACCATCAATGGGAAGAGACAACGCTCTGCCTGAAAATTATCACTCCAAATCGTTAAGTATCTCGTTTACTTTTCTTTGGTGATCTATCTACATGATAAAGCACAAAATCATAAAGCTAGATCAGCAAAGGTAAATATTCGAGATGTAACAGCAAGAAACAACGTGAGTGGATCAGCGTAAAGATATAAATATAAAATTTAACGTAGTAAAGATATAAAGATAAAATTTGTGAACGTATAGGGATACATGTAAATGTAAAGAAATAACGTAAAGCTATAACGCTACTGTGTATATCAATATCTCCATTGTGAGTTACGTGTATACGAAAGAAAACGCGTCAAGCTATCGCGATTGTGAAGCACAAAGATGTAGTCGTTTGTGATGTGTCGTGACGCGCGTCGAGCAGATCGTGTTGGATTACGTCGAGTTTTCAGCGATACTCAGCGCGCTATTCGGGAACTGAGCAACTTTTCAACAGTGTCCACTGGAACTACTGAAGTGATGTGTCGCGATACGATAATGATATCACAGCAGTAGTTACCGTAGTCACTGTCTACGACGGTACATCGTGTTCGCTTAAGTCTTGGCGCTCTTTAAAACTGAAGAACTGTAGATCGCGTTCGTCGCACTAGTCTTCCAACGCATTGACACGTGCGTGAGATAAATATAATCCAGTTTGACGATAGCTGTGAAGTCGCCACTGGGTTATATTTGTCCATCGCAAGTATCAACCGATCATCTGGACCAGGAGTGCCCGTATTAGTATCGTAGACCGATCAGATCTCATTGTTACAACATACGGTTGTTTAGGGACTACGAGCGTCACGAATTCATATGCTCGATAGGATTGTGCCACGTAGTACCTATCCAACAGTACGTGCGGCTCGAACGTGAACGATTCTTCAACAAGCGTACGGTTAGCCTGACGTTACATTGAATAGCCTCGCGTAACATTGAACAGCTGTCTCTTGGAATGAATAATAAAAGTCGTGACGATTTGTATGCTTAACTTATGAATGTTTAAGATTACCGACCTTATTTATGAGACAATTTTTGAAATCCATTTGCATGTCGGTTACCGAAACTCTATCGTGAGGTCTCTTGGGTCCGCTAACACTCGAGACGACAGTGTTCAAGTCCAAAGTGACAACTTCGGAAAAGATTGGGTCCTGGCTCGGATCGTCGTAGTTTCTCAGCATGTGCACGGACTTGAGATATTTTTCAATCCTGTTAATGTGTTCCTCAGATCGATCTAGAATGCCACAGAATGATATAAAATAAAATCTCTGTACAATCTCTGTAAATTATCAAAAACATGTTACGTGATATTGTAAACGAATATTTATGATGCATGTGCCTACATTGGTAGACAATCTTACTTGTTTGTTTCAAATACATCAAGCTCTGCTCATCCACTGGGAAGAAGCCCACGGTTGCGCCGTATTCTGGACACATGTTGGATATCGTAGCACGATCAGCAATGCTTAATTGAGTTACTCCAGGTCCGAAGAACTCGACGAATTTGTCTACTACTCCGATTTGCCGAAGATTCTGTACAGTAAACAAAATATCGTGCTCTCTTATTTTAACATTAAAACAGATAAATCATCGTAAATATTCGTAAAATTGTGTAAGACACTTGATTATATAAAAATGTTATTCTTAGGACAACTAAATTTTCTGAATTTCTGAATTAGACAAAATAATTGATTATATTAAATCTTTATTTTTAAAGTAAATAGAATAAAAGTAATTATACCTTTGTAATTGTAAGGACAAGATCGGTGGATGTTGCATATTGGTTCAACGCACCCTCCAGTTTGTATCCCACGACTTTTGGTATTATCATAGAGATTGCTTGGCCAAGCATAACAGCCTCTGCCTCAATCCCACCAACTCCCCATCCGAGTACACCGAGACCATTGATCATGGTGGTGTGAGAATCCGTGCCTACTACACTGTCGGGATACAGGAGTTTGTTATTGTCGAATACCACTCTAGCCAGATACTCTAAATTTACTTGATGCACGATTCCGCTGCCAGGAGGAACAATCAACATATTTTCGAACGCTTTCGCGCCCCATTTGAGAAACATAAAACGCTCCTTGTTTCTCTCAAATTCGAGGTCTTCGTTCTTTTTCAAGGAGTCCGAGCTGAAACATGTAATAATGCTTATTGGAATCACATTATCCGATAACAAATACAGGATTTTCATGCAGTTTTCATTTGAATTTCTTCTCGTAACGTTATCATGTATATTGCGTAAGAATTTTGTGTGTATGCAATATTACGGCAATACTGAATCTTTAAGTTTGCATGATAACCTTTCACTCCTTACATTGGAGTATCATTGTCAAAGATCAGTCACACATTTGTCAAAACATTAAAATATACCTTCTTGTAAAATCAGCTTGTACTGAATGATCAATTACAAGATCTGATGGACAGATTGGGTTAATCTTATTAGGATCACCACCAAGTTTTTTCACAGCATCTCTCATTGCAGCAAAGTCTACTACTACAGGCACCCCAGTAAAGTCCTAGTGATGATACAATACAAAAGTGATTATGTACTTTTTTGTGCGATTAAAATTGATAAGATATAAAAATTTCCTTAAATAAAACTCCAATGGTCTTTTACCTGTAGCAATACTCTGGCTGGTTTGAAAGCCACTTCGACTCCCTCCTGCAGCATTTGATTATTCTCCCAATCCAAAATTTTTTCAACATCTTTCTTCGTCACTTGAAACTCATCACAGTTCCGTACAGCACTCTCCAAGAGAACTCTGATGGAAAATGGTAGTCTGTCTGTAATATAAAAATTAAAATATATATATATATATATTATATATATATTGATCTCATATGTTGAAGATTAGTAAATGAGAAACTAATTTTACCATATTTTGCTCCAAGACTGCCAAGATCATAATAGCAATGTTCCTTTTCTCCGATCTTGATTGTCCTCAGTAGATGCTTATATGGATTTTTCTCTGAAATAGCAAAAGAAATTTCATCATAATTGATTTTTATTACAAAATAAAAAGAATTACAGAACAAAACAATTTTTATAAAACAAATAAGTTTTCGGCTGTATTATTCATACAATACAACCACCTATTATTGTGATAAAAATAATTAAATTTAACACACAGAGTAAAGTAACCTAAAATACAGTAATTTCTATTTAATATGTTTTTAAAATGTTTCTTCTTTTTTCCATTTTATAATTTTAATGTAATATTGCATCTTAAGTTGCAAAGTGTTATGTTTTTATTCTTCTCTAAACTTACATCAATACAAATATTGATATAATTGATATAATCTTTTAAATGTAGTTTTTAAAGTTTGCAAGTTATGATCTTTAAATGTTGCAATCTTCGCCATCAATTTGAACATTCCTAAATCTAATTCTACGCATTTAAATATTTTTAGCGAACAAGCATGAATTAATGTTCTTCTTGACGATAAATCGATCGAAAATAAAGCAATAATAAAAAATCTACCGTCCTTGCTTATTTTCTTATTTTAAACAAAATAACAAAGGTAGAAACTAATCACACCTCTCCACTTACCAGCCATGATTGTCACTGTTCGAGTCACGTCGGCCCGCCGCGTTAATATGTATATAACAGTTTATATACGGTGTCGTATAAACACCTTCGATTCGCAGAAAAAACAAATATGTTCCCGATAAAAGTATCCTTATTAATTTTTATCAAAATGTACATTATAAAATGTACTATTTAAAAGAGACACAAAGCTATTCTATAAATATGATTTGTCCTTTTATTATTTGAATCAAGAGAAAGTAGAACAAAATGATATAACGAAACGAAGCTTGTGTTACGTTATTTCATATGGATTCTCCTACGTTAGTGAAACGATCATGCATAATTTATGATATCCCGTGACAATTCGAGTACAATGCGTTTTAAAATGCAATGTAAAGAGCAAAGTTCAATTTATACCTATATAGCATCTTTATTATTGACGCTCGGTATATACAATGATCACGTGGTATATACAATATATCGCCAACTATCCTGAGTTCCAATCGTCATCTGTGTGATAACGTAATTACTGGCCATTTTTATAGCGAAACATCAAATTGACAATTAAAGAGGTGTTACTCATCTTTCGTAACGTTATACAGAAGAAGATAGATAATGGAACGAAATTTGGAGAAAACACTGGATGATGTGTAAGTTCCGTTAGGTTGTGGATATAGGTTATATTAAGCAATTTTCCTTAACACAAATAGAACATTTTTTTTTTTATAAATGTTGGTTATGTCATGTGATATAATTAAATATATCATCATACAGGATTAGTGAGGAAGGTGTCATTGGTTGCATCTTAGCTGATCATGCTGGTCTCTGTTTAGGAGGTAATAAACTATCAATTGTGTTAATGCATATTATAGCGTTTGTAAAAACACAAAAGATGGTGAAGATAAGACTTACATGTAATAAATCAAAGTACACATGAAAAATAGCAAAACTCTTCCAGTTAAAGGTAACGCATCAAGTGATAGCGCAGGAGTAATAGCAGCTATAGCAGATCAAGTTGCGAAACTGGAGCCAAAGTCACCAACACCAATCATATCGCTTCAAAATGACAGCAGGTAATGGTTTTTTTTGTGACATTGCTGATGCAGATCAAGAATCTGCACTATCAAATAGCATAAAAATCTGCAATAATACTAAACTTGTAAATCAATTTTTTAGGCAATGTCTTATACACAGGAAGGGACTTGTAGTTGGTGCTATATACAAAGATATCTCAACTTGAGATAATTATTACTGTTTACACCACTGGAAACATTTATGTTCGCAAAAGAATTTACGAGAATACTTTATTGTTTATACATGTTACTGGATAAATTTTGATACATACAAGGGCTATTCCTGTTTCATTGGGATTTGTCTTTTGAATCACAACTATAAGATTGTAAAAAATAAGTGTAATTATATTATAATTCAAGATTTATAACAGCCTGTCTGCACTGCAGCTATAATCTGTAGTGAACTTGTATATTATCATAAATAGAGTAATTCACAGCATAAAAGTCTAAGGTCATTCGCTCTTTCTTTGCTTGCTTCTTCTTTCATACCACTTGTTTGTACCGAGTCTGATCAATTCGTAATGCTCGTATATCCAAGATGTAAGTACGATCGTGAACATCACCACACCGACCACCAGGTGCAATACTTTCTCAGCTGGGAAGAAGTAGGCCTGGGGAATAGAAGAAATTTAACATCAAATTAGCAGTGTCTGTATAAAATAGACCAAAATTCATTTGAAATATTTTTACGTGTGATATATTAGTGATAAGCGCGGCTACGAGTAAGGACGCGGAGAACATCGGTTTCGGGACTAATCCGCGTAGGGGACGATAGATCGTGTCTTGATATCTCTTGTTGATGAACAGTGCAGAGTGTACGATCCTCAGGCTCATGTTCACGCAATTGCCAAGGATGAAACCGACCGGGCCGAACCAAGTGGCGAATAGATATGACGCGCCCAGAAACGCAATTGATTCGTACACCATGATCAAGTTACTCTTGTTTATGGTCGCGCTATCGGCCGTCGCGTTGGTGTAGCATTCTGTCACGCCGTTAATTCCCAGCAGTAACACCGCGAGACAGTGTACTCTTAGGAGGAGGATAGGTAAGGGCAAGGTCAACTTCGAGCCGCCGTATAGCCAAAGTAACGTGCTCGAGTAAGATTGACCAAACACCGAGACGATTAGACCGATAGACATAACGATTGAACACAAATGTGTCAAAACATTCACGCTCTCTTGTATCTTCACCTGCAACAGGACATAGTTTACATAAACTGCTTCGGTTTAAGTACGTTAGAAGTTATATACAGTGGAAATTGCAGTCTCGACACTGACCAGGTTCTGATCAGATATGGCTTTGTCCCTCCTTATCATTTGCGTGAAGTAAAAGTACCCACTTTCCTCGATTGGACGGAAAATAAATCTGGCGGCTAATGAGCCTAGATTATTTACAACTTCATAAATACCCTAAAAAGAGGCAAGAAGAATAATTAATTTCTGATAACGATATCGCAGTAAATGTCAGCGCGCGAATATACCTGTTCCGTGAATGTCAGTACCGGCATTATAGTCATGATTAATCTCTCGCCTTCCGTCAAAATTTGTTTTAGTATTCCTTGCCTAAAGAAGCTCCATGTGAGAACAGTTAACTTTCTATCAAGATATGAATCCTACGAAATAACTGTTGTACTTCTTAAACGATAATAACGATAATGTAGTCATATTTATACATACATTGTTCGCCAGCTGACCTGGTAAGAAATCCTTTACGTCGCGAAAAGGAAATTCTCTCACCACATACTCGTCGCTGCTATCCTTCAGTGACATCCTCCGCTTGTGCACGTATTTATTCAACTTTGCGATATGATAGTGGAAGTACACGTAGTGACTAGTAGTGTAAAATACTGCTGCAACAAGTTGAGCTATGCTAAATGCAAGTAATGCATTCTCCGGCTGGTATAATATTAGAGGGACAAATGTCAAGGTGCGAATAGTAATCATAATGGTGTCGAGAATTATCTGGAAAAATATATTTATAATGGTGAGACATTTGTCTTTCAGAGAGTTTCAATTTTTTCTGTTCAGTGTCTTACTTTAAGCCTAACAAATAGGAATGCACTCGCGACCAATTGAACAATTAAGGAAGACAGTTCTATGATACATGACAGTCCAACTGCCCAAACTGCAAATGTATAGTACGGTGGTAATGCTTCTGTAGTAGAGAGCAAAAATAACCAAATGTATCCAAACAGGAAAGACATCAAAACGCATATAGGCACTCTAAAATACGATTAATTTACATTAATTTGGTCATATGAGAGAATAATCAACATATTATCCATGAAATATACTGGTGCGGTATGACTGTTAAAACATGAAATATTCTGTATATATATATGATAGGAAAAATGACAAACTAACGTCAACCAGAGGAGGTTCACAACTTGAGCCCAGTTATGTTCTGCTGTATTAGTCAGACATGCTTTCATAAATGGTTCACGTGATAAGAACAGTATCATAGATTCCAACAGCAACAATCTCACATTAATGACACCTAAGATTGCTTGACCTACATGCCGAACAACAAATGCGTTCAAGACAAATGTGACACAGCGGCAAAATATCTGGAAGAAGAATTATACTGAAATTTCATGTAGTTTTAGTATTTTTACTAGTACAAAGTACATAGGATAACAGCCTCTGATTAGTAGATTGCTTTTGAGAGAGTGACAATGTTGGAAAACAGTAAAAACTATGCGTTAGTATGATGAAATATTTAGAAAGGTAACAATCTAAACAATGGTAACCAGATGATCAACAAAATACTCTAATACATTTCTCCAGTGTACCTGAAATACAATGTTAAAGGAAGCGTTCTCTAAGCTGCTCTTCAGAAGATTCGGTGGCATTTTCAGGCAGATTTGACAATAATCATGAATATTTTGAGATTCCCGCCGAAAGCAAACGTCAACGTAACTCTAACAGGTTATGTGGATTCTAGATAATCGCGAAGCCTAAAACTACTTTGACGTTTGATCATTTCTTCTCGATTATATTCATACTGTCGACTGCTTTAACCGCACAAGCTTGATTCCGTTACCGTAAAAAAGAAAAGGAACAATTATTATTTTAATCGAGCTGATAACATTTCGTGACGTAATTACACCTTACGGGTGCGCTGTTCGCGCTACAAGCATAGACATCTGTGGTCTGTTCTTTTTAGCTGCACTACTGAACTGGTGCAATAAGTTAAAGTGAGAAAAAATATAGTTGTCTCACTCTAACTTACCGCACTAGTTCCGCAGTGCAGCTAAAAAGAACAAACCAATAGGGTGCGTTCCAATAGTCACTGCCAGCACTGAAAATCTATAATATATGTGACATAAACTATATATTTTCAGTACTGGCAGTGAATATCGGAACCAGCCAAGTACGAATAGACGGAGCATGGGCTCCTCTTCCCTATAGAAGAACGTGACACCTACGAATAATGGGAGTGAGACAGCAGGAAGTGCATATGCATTGTTTCTGTCTTCTCGTGCCTGTACAAATTAATAACTATAACCTCAGAATTCGATCAGTTTATCGGAGAAAGGTTAGAGAAGATAGAGAGTGTATAAAGCATAATAATAATATTGACGAGAAAATGTCCCGAAAGTATGCTGTATGCGAACAAACGCAAATGATGTGTCATGTAGTCTGTTCTTTTTAGCTGCACTGCTGAACTGGTGCATTAGAAGACAAACGGTCTGTTCGTTTTAGCTGCACTGCGGAACTAGTGCAATAAGTTAGAACGAGACAACTATATTTTTTCTCACTTTAACTTATTGCACCAGTTCTACTGAACTGTGCACTACTGTGCAGCTAAAAAGAACAGACCAAAAGAGAGAGTGAGCGTGCACTTCCTGGGTCATCCCAAAGGTTAATCAGATTTCAGAGAGTGAATTGGAATATATGTTAATCGCGTACCGCGTATTCGAATATGAACGATAAACTTTTGCTTTTAAACTTGTCTTATGTCTAATTTCGAATGCTTTCATGATCATTGTATTTGTCTTAAGATGGGCTACAATCGCGAATATCTATTACATATTTTTAACAAGAAAAGAAAATTATGGACAATCTTTCGGACGTGCGAAAACAGCGGTGTAAAAATTAATTTAACGTAAAATAAGGAAGGTTAAAGTAACGACAGGTCAATACCCGAAATATTTGCGTTTTCGTTTTAAAGTTTAATTTTATGTTAATTCGTCGTTACCTCTTAACCTTCTTCATTTTCCATCAATTTATTCTTACATGGCTATTCTCGGTCGTTCGGCAAATTGTTCATAAATATTACCTTCATGTTAAACAATAGTGTAGTAGCATTCGAAGCCACCTATCAACATATCGCTTGAATTTTTCGCGCTATATAGGTTACACGAAAGTCATCAAAGCTGCGTTCCAAAATTCACTGCCAAATACTGAAAATACATAGTTTGTGTTACGTATACTATAGAATTTCAGTGCTGGCAGTGAATACCGGAACGCAATCCAACCTGACACGTGTATGTACAAGTGACAAGTAATACGTGACAGGTCAAGAGCTTCAGATCACTGTTGCCGATTTATGGAATAGTCATGAAACACAGATATTCAGATATGCACCTGATTAACGAGTTGAATTATATATGGCTATTGGAAGGTTACAGCTTACTCCATATGCCAATTTATTTTGTGCGCCCGATTAGGAATGTTAGGATATCACTATCTTTAGAGAATGAGAACACATTAATGAATCCTGTGTGTTATTTAAAACATAAAATTCACCTAACTTTCGTTATTTTATTGGCTCCGTTACGAGTCGTCACTATCTCTATCAACAATTCGTAGTACAACTCAACGACAAGTAAGACAGACTTTCACTTTCAACCCCAGTTCAACCTCTATTTCTATTTCTATTTCCAACTATATGATTCAATACGATGGATAATTTTTATTTTTAATAGTTGATTATTTGAATATCGTTTATTAATTTAAGTATTTGTCAAAGTAACAATAAATAAAAGGTGACAGAACAAATTGAAGGATTTCCAGGTAACAAGCAAATAAGTAACAGCAAATTTACTCTGTAAAGCTTTCAGTTAGCGACATTTTTTCTTTAGAAAATAAATTTTCTTCTCGGATATCGGATATTTTTGATGGATATCAAACGCACACACGTACACACATGCAGTATGAATTATCCATTAGTTTGACAGCTGATGGATTGTCAGTCGGCAATATGGCCGACCAGGCTAAGTCGTGATTGCGTCGACTGTATTTCAATGTCTTTTTTCCTAACATCTAAAACGAAATATTTAAATAACTTATCTCAGTAAGATAACGTACGCGAGGAGGTGATATATTGTGTAACGTTGAAGCAAGTACCCACGTAAATAAAAAGCGAGAAGTGTAGCTGCCTGAAAATTGTGATAGGGCAACTCCTTTCAATTCAAGACTGCGTAAAGAAGTGGGGTTTCAAAGAGTTATTATCATTTCTCGGTAGTAAGATGGTTCGATAAAAGTGTTGGGAAAGAAAGCAAATAGGAAAGTGAAGGTAAAGCTGCGTCCCAAGGACAACCATTGTTCATTAGCAGAAAATAAGAAAAGGAACGGAGGAAAGGGGAAGAACCCAAAATATATCAGCTGATATATTATCTAAGCAGTATTGTTCCTAAGCTAATCTACCATGGCATACAACGCGTCGATTTTCTTAACTCTTCGTGATAACTGTGTCAGGTAAATAGCTGAAGAATATATCCCCCGAAAGTGCGAAAGTAGAAGTGCGAGAAAGAAGGTGAGGAGAGAAAGAGCAAGTATATAGGAGGAGCAGACGGTGGTGGAGAAAAGTGAAACCTATGACGCACGATATCACGTCGTGCCGGTTTCGCTCGTGGTGTGGAATTTGACCGTCTTAAATAAAAACAGACTCCGAAAGATATAATTCCTGTTCTCCGAAGAAGACGGACGTACTCGACGAGGAGGAAGGAGGACAGATACGTGGATTTTTCTTCTCGTTCGCGCCCACGAAACGTCGTGAGTCCCGTTCGTTGTACAGTTATCGGAATCGCGAATTGTTGCTCCATCGTGCTTCACGGCTTATAGCGTGGTATTAAAAGCCTGACTAAAAGTCATACGCTCTTCACGCGAGGAACACAGTCGATCGCAGGTAGCCGCACTGTGAGGACGAACAGCATCGTTGTGTTTGTACGTACATATTATACTGTTTGCTGACGGTCGTGTGCACTTGTTAACCGCCACTGCCCTCCTTCCGCGCCTAGCGTTCTTCCGTACTGTTTTCCGTAAAAATATGATGAGTAAGTGTCACGCCGGCCTATCGTGCTGCGCCGCGTTGTCGTCATCCTGCTTGATCGCGTGATACGGTCATCGGCAAATCATTTGATATCACAACGTTGACCGCGGCGACGACGACGACGACGACGACGACGACGACGACGACGACGACGACGACGACGACGACGTCGTCGTTCGCTCGAGGACAAGCGAGTGCGCGATTTCTCATTTTCAATTAATCGTAGAGATAAGTGGATAAAAGTGATACGTCATGCCCTTCATATTTTCTGTGATGAAAGTGAGTGGAAATGTCATATACTGCTATATAATAACACATAGTTTATGTTAAGTAGTTAATAACGACACACGTTCATTTTTTTGCAAACACAGTTTCTAAGTGAACTTGGTTTTTGAGACATATCTCAGATGGAAAGATCTCTGTAGGTATATCACTTTCATCTAGTTGTCTTCTCAATTATTGGTACTGTTGATTGTGCACACTCATTGCTTGATTATGCATTCTTAATCTACAATAATTTGTCATTACCCGCATAATGTGAAAAAATTGATGACACTGCTTTCCATGTTAAACAAAGAAGTTATTATGGTATTTCAATGAGAATCAAGTAAAATATAAGTGAGCAATAGATAAGAATGCAAGTAATGATAAGAATAAGTTTATCAGACATTCATTAATTCATCAAGTCATTCTGTTTGTACAGTACAATGTTTTGTATTTATATTTTTATCACTTGAGAATAGTAAGCAGATAGCTGAATAAATGAATGTATGTTGAAAAGCTAAAAATACTATATTTGTATGTATAATAAAAGTGAAACAATAGAATATAACTAATTGAGGAATGAGAGCTATTATAATTGCAAAAATACAGCAATATTACATTTATTATTTTGCTATTAAATTATTCTAACAGAGAAATCTAAGTATATCTAGGTATATCTTTTATATATTATAATATATCAATTTCATGCAGAACATGTGCAAGTAATAATATATTTAATATATTTAATATTATTAAAATATATATAATATGTTATCTTCAAATTCTTTTCACATCTCAAGTGACAATTATAATGTATTATTTTTCATTATGTTATCAATCATCATAATATGGGTCAAAACATTAGTTGATATAACACTAGCCACATTTATACTGTAAACATAATATATGAAAATACATGGAAGCATTGTAAAAGATGAATATGCGCATGATATTATATGACGTAAATGTAAATAGTGAGTATATTACGTATTGTTGCGCAAGTGAATTCAGACATTAGGCTCTGATGGCAATGCATTCAAGAATAGCTTACAAAAAAAAATTGTAACTTTTGTAAAATTTTGAGGAGTTTTATGTTTTACACTAGAAAACTTTAAATATTTATTATTTATTATTAAGTCATGCCATCATTAAGTCATATTATGTGGGGCTTGGAAGTGCGAGATACTAAATCATTGATATATTATTTCATATTGTACTACTTGATATTATACCTTTTGGATTTAAATAAATTTTTAATTTTAAGTTTAATTTTAGGTTTAAGCACATATATATTTTTTATGTTGCAGTAAAGAAGCTATTTACTATAATAGAGGATTTTGCAGTGAATCATACAACGCTGAACAATGAGACCACAAAGCCATCAAAATAATTTAGCTCCAGAAACCATGACGTCTAACGGATATGCCGCTGCTGAGACCACTGCCAAAGAAGCGAGGAATCACTCATCCCCTTGTGAGTCAGTGAATTGTATGTGTGCTTAGAGATTGCTAATATTTTTACTTTTATTATAAATTATTTCTTCATATTCGTTACATTATTTATATTACGTGGCATCTGATTTATTTCACCTCGCATTGCAAATATGATTTCTTTTAAAATTTTTAGCACTGCAGTATAATTTTTTTGAGCATCAGTGCATTGAAATATTAGTAATATGGTTATTATGAAATTTAAATAACATTTAAATGTGACAAAGTATATAAGTATAATAGATATGCTTGCGATAGAAAAGTTTATTTTGTTTGAATATTAGCTAATTATTATTATATATATTCTTTTTTGTTATGTATATGCGTGCGCACGCGCGCGCGCGTGAGTGTGTGTATGTCTGTCTGTTCATATCTTTATATTTTTTTCTGCAACAGTTCCTCTGCATGAGTTTTTAACGATCACACTTGCGAAAACGTAATGTGTAGTTTTAGCTGTTAATCTCTTATATAATCACTAACGATTGTTTCTTTTAGCAGAAAGATATACGTATTTTTTCACATTTTTTCATATTCTTACACAAATTGGAATATACGTTATCATTTTATAGCAATGCCTTGGTTTGGAATGGATATAGGCGGTACGCTATGTAAATTAGTGTACTTTGAACCGAAAGACATTACGAGAGACGAGGCCGACGCAGAAGTAGAAACACTGAAAAATATTCGCCGATACCTCACTAAAAACTCGGCGTATGGAAAAACCGGACATCGGGATACGCATCTACAAGTAAGTGCTGCATATTAAATATTCCACATATTCCATTTTTTTACGTTTTATCGCTTATACATTATTTAATTATTTTACTTAATGACTGTTTCAGATGGATAATGTTTGTATTAGAGGTAGACGAGGTACATTACATTTTATAAGATTTCCTACGAGCGAGATGGGGAATTTCCTAGCATTAGCAAAATCCAAGGGCATGGCAAATCTTGTAACTACGGTTTGCGCCACTGGTGGTGGTGCCTTCAAGTTTGAGGATAATTTTAAGAAGGTATTGAATCATACTTTCCAGTATACTTATCGTTATCACTGTGATAGAGATCACTTCTTAGTATAAGTATATATAATCATTCCCTGGTAAACTAAAAATATCTTCTTTTTTTTTTTTTCCCAGGAGGTTAATATGAATTTGGCGAAGTTCGACGAGTTAGATAGTTTAATACGTGGGATGCTTTACATCGAAACCACGAATCCGCACGAGTGCTATTATTGGTCGGATCCTACTGATAACAGCAAATGCCAAAAAGTACCTTATGACTTTTCCGAACCCTATCCTTTCCTGGTAAGGATGTCACACTGGGATATACAGAGTGTTAAAAAAGTATTCCTTAAGTTAAAAAAGTTTCCTATTTCATATTGCTCTCTCATTTATATATCCTCTATTGTCCCTCAAGGTTTGTCTTCTTTATATACTTTTTTAACGTTTGGTATAATCTTGCGTTTGTTTTGTATCACGTGGTTTTTTGCTTCTTATAAAACAATATTTTACAGCTCGTTAATATAGGTTCCGGAGTAAGCATATTAACTGTGTATGGACCAGAGGATTACAAAAGAATATCTGGGACGAGGTAAGTTGTGGACTATTATATTATCGTATATATCGTATACCGGCAAAATGTATATGTGCATTTTGGAGCAACATGTTAGTATAAAGTTTATGCCTGTTATAGTTTAGGTGGCGGAACGTTCTTAGGATTGTGTTGTTTACTCACTGGATGCAACACTTTCGAAGAAGCGATAGAATTGGCGACGGGCGGTGATAATACAAAAGTAGACAAATTGGTGAAAGACATATATGGCGGTGATTATGGCCCCTTTGGTCTTCCCGGTGATTTAGTTGCTAGCAGGTAAACTTTACGGCACAATCCTTGATTTGATTATCTTGCTGATTATCTCAACTCTGCTGATTATTTACTATAGCACAATTTTTTGTATCAAATATTTAATTTGTGTCGCAATTTCACTGTTTGTTGTTTTCATACGCAGTTTTGGACAAATGAATTCCAAGGACCGCAGGAACGCAGTCACGAAGGAAGACCTGGCACGCGCAACACTTGTCACCATTACAAATAATATTGGTTCCATCGCTCGCATGTGTGCTGTTAATGAGAAAATTGAGAGGGTAATACACGCAAGCCACGTTATTACGATGCAATTTATATTCCAGTCAACATTTTGTAATTGCCTTTGTTTGTAGGTTGTATTTGTTGGGAATTTTCTCAGGGTAAATCCTATATCGATGAAATTATTGGCCTATGCTATGGACTATTGGTCCAAAGGAACCATGAAAGCTCTGTTTTTGGAACATGAAGTGAGACAATTGGAGAAGTGTATTTCTTATTTTGAGACGAGTGATTCGGATGTATCGTAAATATCTCTCTCTTTTTATGATTTCAGGGATATTTCGGTGCTGTCGGATGTCTGTTACAATTTAACGGCGAATCGAGTTAAACAGAAGAGGAAAACATTGGGAAACGGTCATGCAACATGTAGCATTCCATACGATCAAGCTTGTCTGTAGAATACATTTTTTAAATGAATACTACATTGTTCGCGACATAGCTATTTATTTTTGTTATATTTTATTTAATTATTTAGAAATCCATATATATTGAGAAGAAAAATAGCCATTTACTATGCATACCGCGAGACCGCGAGAGGAAGGGTGTCTCGATATTTAAGTACAATTAAGATTATATTTGTACGCATTGTCCTCTATTATAATTTATTATAATTTCCACATATAGAAAGCAGTAATTGTATTTGGGGTTATTTCTTTTGTTTTGTTTGTCATAAGGTAGCTATATAGGTTGATATAATTGTTTGATTATGAGCACAAATTCATCACGACTTGGCGATAATGGACCAAATCCAATGGGATTAAGGATCGTCTTGTTTCCTATCCATCCCAATGTTCGTTACATGCCGTATAGACTAGTTCTACCTCATAATTTATATTGTGAAATTTTTCTACGAATGCACAGGTTTTTATGTATATAAGTAACGGCAGTCGCGTTATTACAACTTGTACTACTTTTCGTAAGTTTGTAATCAGCGAACGAAGCTATTCTAGTGATAGATACTTTCGCACCGATCGTGAATATGTTTTACATTCTGTTGTTAATGCGTTGTGTGAATTCGGTAAATTTTAAGCGCGTGAATCTTTAGTAGAAAATATCACTATTATTTGCACAGCCGGCAACTGGCGATAGCAAGTCTTATAAATTTTTTACAAGATTTATGTGCATTACTTCGATAAGATATTGTGATTGCAAAGTATAATACTTGCGAAGTTTAATTTGGGTATTGCGGGATGACACAATATATATATTAAGAGTTTAGTATCAGCTGTTAAATTATGATTCCAAGAAGCATGATACAGAATAATGTAAGTGTAATTAAAATATTGATATCGCTGCAAAAAAAGTTTAACGATACACTATGTGACGTGTGTACGTTCTATTTTAATTGCCCAACATCAACGGCAATTGATACAGTTTTGTATGTTATTTGTTACTTGTCGATTAATTTGATATATTATCGTGAGCATATCTTTGTACAAAACAAAGAGGTTTTTCCGTTACATTGTATTGTGAAAACATGCCAAACGAACTTTGATATCAAATAAAGTATCATTGTAATATATCGCGTTATATGTTATTCTTGAGAAAATTAAATTTTGTGACAAATTTTAGGGCTAATACAGTGTGCATGCAATCTGAGTATATTATTTATAGCGACATATTATACATAATTCTTCATAATATTTTATTTTTGTATTTTTGTTATTTTTGTATGTTTAATTTTCTGTTTGAAAATTGCGATTGCGTACAAAGTCTCTAACGAGATCTACACGTATAATTAAGTTACACGTATAATCCGTGTCGATGTGTAAGGTACAAGACGTGGTTACTTAGCAACGATCTTACAAAACAGTACCATTATACTTATAAGGTATCAAGTTAATCGAGTCGTCAGACATGGTCAGCTGATGTAGGACTACGGACTTTGTAGTGCTGTCGTTATCGTTATTACTTGCACTACATTTTGCTACTATTTTTTAAGAAGTCACTCTATCAGATAAAACCGTTTTTTACACATTTTTTATCGGTATCGACAAACGATGGTAAGTTTCATTGACTATGATTACTATTATCTGCCAAGAGGAGTTTGCGAGGGTCGATTATTACCGTTCGATTTTTACAATTAAGTGTTAAAATTATGATCAGTGCATACAATTTTTATGTAAATGAGGTAAATATTAAATTCAAAACGTTACGTATCATAAGTATATGCAAAGTAGAGTTTCGTTTTGTATTGTTGTGTTTGTTCTTTTGGCTATTAACGAATTGCTCGCTGTTAATTATTCGGAACCATCGAAGGGTCCCAAGAAGACGAAAGGGAAGACGACGGACACCGTTGACGGGGTAGATACAGCCAAAATGAACAGGGAGCAATTGGAGATATACGCTCATAAGATACTGGAGGAGATGGAACGCGAACGGGAGGAGAGGAATTTCTTTCAGATAGAGAGGGACAAGTTGCGAACTTTTTGGGAGATCACGAGACACCAACTGGACGAAGCGCGCGCCATGGTCAGGTACTTGAACGATGTCGAGCGACTGTCGAGCGATAAGAATCGCGCATGAATTAATTCCACACGTGTTCTTGCGAATTGGAAACAGAAACAAGGAACGTGAGAAAGAGGAGCTCGAAGAAAAGCACGAGGCCGAGCTCAAGTTGTACAAGCAGAAAGTGAAACATTTAATGTACGAGCATCAGACCAACTTGTCGGAGACCAAGGCCGATCATCTGGTCGCTCTTAAATTGGCACAGGACGATCACGCGGCGCAGGAGAACGAGCTGATCAAGGACAAGATAGATCTCAAGAAGGCGCAGAAGGAGCAGGAGTTGTCTTACATGAACGAGATTCGCACACTGAAGCTGGTGAGACGCGCGTGCAACATTCCGCCGACGTTCTATGCTTTGGTTTTATTAATAATAAAGGTAATGTTAATGAATTTGGCATTCGTATGTTAAACTGCAGCATAACTCGGAGGAAATGAGCAATATGATGAAGAGATTCCAGTCGGAAGCGACGAAAATGGAGCAGAAGTACGAGCAAAAGTTGACTAATCAGTACGAGTCCTTGACGCTGAAGAATCGAATGGAAATCACGGAAGTGGAGGAGAGAAAGAACACGCAAATTGCGGATCTAATAAAGAACCACGAAGACGCGTTCACCGAAATGAAAACTTATTATAACGACATCACCCTCAATAATCTGTCGTTAATTAAGAGCATGCAGGTAAAGTTCGTTCTGTTTTTGTTTTCTTTCTGTGAAGTCTCGCGAATATATGTACAACTAGAGTAATCTACTGAAGAGGAGGATGAGAAAAGTGCACAAAATTTGAAACTTTTGCGACAAGGAACAAATGGAGACGATGAAAAGTAATGAGGAGCGTCTAAAGAAGCAGGTGCGGGAATTGACCACGGAGAATAAGAAGTGCTCAGCCGACTTAAAGATCTCGCAGGAAACGGTGACCGAACTGAATCGTCAACTCGCAAATTACGAGAAGGACAAGCAATGCCTAACTGTCAGTGCGCTTAGCGTAATCGCATATTGTTAAAAACCAAGAATATAACGATCGAATAAACATGTTATTGCAGAACACGAAGCGGAAACTGTCTGCCGTGACGAAGGATCTGGAAAATTTTAAGTGGGAGAACGAGGTGCTCGAGCTGCGCTTCGAAAAAGTAAGCAATTAATGTTTGAATGACGAGTTTTACGGCCGAAGACTCATATGTATACTGTCTTCGTTTAGTGTCAAGCCGAGAGAGACGAGCTACACTCCAGATTCGTCTCGGCTATTTTCGAGCTGCAACAGAAAACTGGCTTGAAGAACGTGTTGCTGGAGAAAAAGTTAGAGAAGCTGTCGGATTTGTTGGAGCAACGTGAGGCGCAGATCAGCGAGGTGTTAGCCGCTGCTCAATTGGATCCCGTGGCGGTGGTTACCGTGAACAAGAAACTGGAGGTACGCGTTAAACGTGTGAAAAACACAATTCTATCGCAATTGTGGGGATCTCTGGACCACGCGCGACGACTCTGTTCTCTCTTCAGGATATGCTGAACAGAAAAAATACTGCGATACAAGAACTGCAGTACGAGTTGGCGAAGGTTTGCAAGGCGCACGACGATTTGTTGGCGACTTATGAGAGCAAACTGCAGGAATACGGAATCCCCAAGACCGAACTTGGTTTTCAGCCTCTGAGAACGAAGATGGCCGGTGTGAAATGGGGCTCGGGTCCAGCTGGTCTCGTCACCTCGAATCGATAGCACACTTTTTTGTAAATATTTGTGCGATCATTGGTGGCGGTCTGATATTTCCTTTATTCTGGAAAATTATGCGGGCGCACATACTTCTTGATGGAACAAAAGACATAGCGTTTCTTATAAATACGGTAACGCTGGCTGGATACATCATAAAAGGATACATACATATATATATATATATATATATGCTCAATTTATTTAAACGCTATTTTCCATCCCGCAATATAATCGACGCACAGAATTAATTTTGACACGGTAGTACTTTTATTCTGTAAAACGAATACATTTCAGAGCACTTACGCGTTATGTTCTCAAAAATTACATAAAATTATCACAGAGAATGTACAGAGTAGATCGTATCGATGCCTGAAAGTTGCATGTAATCTTAGTACTTATCTGTTATTTTTATTTCTTTGCTTCGAATCGTGTGTCTCTTTGTCAATTTGTGTCGCTCAATCGGCAGCGAGGAGTCCGATATCGCGAACGACCCGTCCTTTTTTTTGTCATACATTTTATCTGTAACAACTGACAGGCACTAAATACATTGAAGATACATTCATATATAGATATTAACGTATATAGATATAGACACATTTACTAGTCTAGCTTGTAAAACACTTTAAGTCAAATACATCAGGTCACATGGTTAATAAATTTCAAACACTGGCTTTTTTTTTTTATATGTAAAATACTTCCTCGTCCGCCTCTCGCGTATAATAGTCCGTAAACTCTTTTTTTCTCTTTTATAATACTTAACGATTAAGTTAACGATTAAGTGAAGAAATAATTTATCATTTGCTCACAGATTTGTAAATATTATACAATGCGTTGTATATATATATAGATATAATTTTATAACACATATATAGATGTATATATATATATATATATGTACATATACATATATACATGTTTATGTGTATATTCAGAATTTTGGCACAATAAGAAATAGAATCACAGTTGAAATCATTGTACATCATAAGACTTACAGATGATCAATACGTTGGTATCGTGTTTGTGAAGTGTGTACATTACACGCTCGCTACGATATGAAATTCACATTAAACGTGTAAACACAATTAACTCGAGAGACTTCCGCTATATAGGCTACGTTATAGAAAACTATAAACTACCGACTAACGTCAGAAGATCCAGTTCTCGGAAAAAGATGGTGCGAAAGTTAGAGATCAATCAGACATAATCCTGAGCACTGCAAAATTTAGAATTTATCCGTACGCGTGTTTTTGAATTAGGCTCATTTGGTTACCACCTTGTGTTTGGAAAGTACATAAATCCCCGATCCATACGTCTCTCTTTTTTTTTTTCGTATTAAATTTTTACGGCCGTGTCAAGTTTGTATCTCAGAGTCGTAGAAAAAATAAGCATCTGTTTTAATTTTAGATATTAGTGGTCCATTGTTTCTTTGTAAACCTTTTCTTCGAGTTTCTGGAAAGGTTCGCTCGCGCTACATTTACAGGTGCATCGGTTCCTATAGTTGGTGTGCACACACTAAATTTAAATAAGAGCGATATATGTGTAACATTTTTAAGCATTCTGACAATGTGTATGTGTGTTTATGTGTGTGTGTGCGTGATGCACTTTCGCCATTACACATATAAAACGAGATGTAGCAACACACTTTTTATTCCGTTATTGGCGAGATGTTTGCTTGTATGATAAACGAGAACAGTAAGGATATCCTTCCTCGACATGAAAAGGCATGGTACACTTTCAAATCATTATCACATTCGCGTAGATAGCAGAAGAGTAACTAATATGTAACAATTATCCATTTTATTTGCACATATTTGTAATCCGTTAAAGATTTGTAAATTAATTCAAATATCGAATGAACAATTTGGTCACTTTGCCGATATCAAAGAAAACTAATCATAGTCTTGAGAAAACTGTTTCTGCTAAAACAAGCTGGGATCCCCCTCCCCCGACAGTAATTTGTCACAAATTTAACAAAGAGAAAAAATCGCGTCGCAAGAGGTGCGCAAGGTGTGATGCAAGGCGTTTCATGTCTCGTGATACTTTACGTTTCAGGATATCTGTGATGAGCTGCATTCAACTCATTATCCTCCAATTGGGTAGAACGTCAGCGATCAGCGTAGAAAAGTATGTTGTTACATTGTAAACTATAGTCTCGCCGGCGGCCAAAATGGCCCCGAACGAACCGTAGGTGCCATAATCTATTATGCTGTGGTTACATGCGGACAATACCGCCAGGTCCTTCCCTGGGCCTTTGCCGTCATTGTCCGACACGAAACTGATTCTGTGGCGCTTGCTGCGCAAGTTATATTTACACCAGGCGATATTATCGCTTGTCACTACGAAGACCACATTGCTATACTTGCCGGCGAAGTAATCCATCGCCGATAGGTAGTAGCTTATGGGCGCGGGCCGCGTCTTCAACTTTTGCCACAGGTAATCTACGTAATCGGTCCTGCGCACGTGTACGCTGACGTAGGTCGGCGCCGACAGATTGAATTTCTCCGCGACTCGTCTCAGCACCTTCTCCGCGTAGATCCTCAGGCACGGCTTGAACGTGAACTCTCGTCGTATGTCATCCAACCAGACCAGTATGAGAGACCAGTAAGCCGCATGCCTGGAAATGTTACGATACTTTATTGAAGTGCATACAAATCACGAGATTCACCCACACGTTCCGTTTCATCTCAACATAATCATAATCTGTTCCAGTTATCGTAATGTAAAGATGTAAAAAAAAATAAAAAAAAAAAAAAGAAAACGAGCTGCCGCTTAGCCGCGAGATAAAATCTCGCGTTGATGAGATTGGTGGGTCTTAACCTGGGTATTATGATGTTTTGCTCCGTGCTGTTCCACTGGCCCAACGAATTCACCACCTGGCCGACGTCCAACGTGCACCTGCCGATGTAGCTGAGCGGCGGGATGCTGAGGTTGTCGAAGTATTCCTCCAAGGTCTTGAGGATGCAACGCGGCATGAACGGCTCCAGACCGGTGCGCCTCGCGGTAGCCCACACCGAAGCATACTCCCAGATCTGGTTGCCCAGCCTACCGCCTTGCACCGCCGACACGATGCCGTACTTGGGGCAAGGGTTGCGCCACTCCGGCGGTATCCGGACGTTCTTCAGGGTGGTGCGACAGAGTGCCTGCTCGTACGCGGAGATCTTCGTGTGGCGGGCCGGCGGGTTCGACGTGTACATGGGAAACAGGAAGACGTGGATGCCGAATACCACTATCAGCGCGAGGACTATCGCGCTCGCAAGCACATGCTGTTGAGCGTGACTCATTCTCCAAGTTTTGCGATCACGCGAGCTCTCTCGAGAGCGACGGGGTGCTCCCGTTTTTTTTTCCTTTCTCTCCCGTTCTTGCCCTCTCTCTCTCTCTCTCTCTCTTGCTTTCTCTACGTGCTTGCTCTCTACTCTCTCTCTTTACTCTACTTGCTCTGCCTCTCGCCTTTCTGCCTCTACTGGTCGGCCGTTCGCTCTCTCACGCACGCTAGTCCGGCATTTCGTATCTACAGGTGTGCCATGTCCTTTGCTTTTCGACGCACATCTTGGCAACGATAATGCGATTAATGAGCGACAAGCGTGTGAATGTCGTGGGAGCATGCATATCGCGTGTTCGCGTAGACTTCGCAACGGGGGTGATTCAAGCGGTAGCCCGTCGCGGATGTTGAGGCGCGTGTCGTTTACGAGTGTAGCATGGCGTTTATTGTATGTGTGTGTGTGTGTGTGTGTTTCTGGAAGTAGTTGTGTAGGACGACCGGAGACAACTGTCTCTGCGCGAGGTAATTAAAAAGAAAAAGGACATGGCCGACACACCGTCACTGTGCAAAGCTCAAGTAAAATCGCATGCAGGGAAAGCGAAAGTCAGCGGCAAACCTAAGTTAACAACGTCAGCCACGTAACACATGAGGAATCGAAAAAGTGAGCGTGTATTACGAAGGTCGATAACGGAGCAATTTCGTTGAGCGCGACTTTCAACACCGCGAGATTTATTGCGTTTTTGCGATAAAATTGGCGTAAAGTTCGTTATCGTGTACTTCAGGATTATGCACGAACGGCGGCGCACGAACCGGTAATTTTTCTCCTTCAACAAGTTGCAGCTATAGACCGAGCGGTGTTAATAGGAACGTAATTAACACGTGGGGAACGGCGCACAGGGGAAGACTATGAGGGGTGTGAAACCCCCCCCCCTCTTATTCCGATATTCGTTCGGCGGAGCATCCTCATTCTTCCGCGATCGAGCGGCAGTGTTGAAAAGTTTTGAAAAATGATACGCGCTTTGACATATTCATCATAAACTTTTCATCAATGTAGGAACTTCGACGTTGTAATTCGATAGAATATTGTGAAACGAGACGCGATACACGTACAATTTGATGAAATATATAATTGTAATTGCGGAATTGAAAAAAATTCTTTTTAAACAATTTTATCACATTTGTAGAAATATTCGTGTTAAAACACGAGATTCCTCGTGAGATTTCGCGAAAAGGTTCTCCGTCATTTTCCGACAAGCAGCAAATCGCACGCACTGCAATCTTCTTTCCTGTTTCTCTCTGACGGGTAAGCTCTCTCTTGACTCGTCGGAGACGCATATATGTATTTATGTGCTCGTTCGAAGCTATTGCGTCGCAGGGATGAAATTACGTACGCGGCATACAGCTTGAATCATTATTGTCAACGTAATTGTCAACGTATGCAATTGTCACTATTAATTCCCAAAAAAATAATTCCCATTCAAATTTTGCAAGAAAGTGTACTCTGTTCTGTAGAATCGTTACAACCGATAACGTTATATCAAATTATTATTGCGTCGTGGACACTTGATGCAACATAATTCCATGTAGGCTCCGCTTAAACAAATTCACTGCCATTGTTTACTTGTCGCACTTGAAGGTTAGACCGTTAAAATTAACGCAAAAGTAAGAAATTAGGACACGATCTGACCACGCGAAACGCTTTCAGATCCTTCTAGAAAGCTCTATCCACCCTCTAGCCTCTTTGGCGCACGAACTCGTCTCGGAAATCGAGCTCAACGAATTTGTCCCTCGACACCCTGCGGAACGTATCGGAAAAGAGGAAAAGTCATACTCACCCGTCCCGACGAACTTTTCACGATTAGCGACGCACAGGCCGAGCCTCGCAACTGGCCCCGGGGATGGCTCATTCATGTTTGCCCGGCGTGACACCCTCGGACGCTTGTTGCACCCTGGCTGTCGTCGCCGTCGCTGTCGCTGTCGCCCTCCGTCGTGGCAGACGTCGTCGACGCAGCACTTTTCGTCCGCGGCGAACTTCACGCGACGCTACGTTCGCGTCGTTCCGTCGCTGCCGTCGCCATCGACGTTGTGAGAGCTGTCCTCCTCTACGCGTTCTCAGGATGAACGTCAGGATGTCCACAGGGTGCTCGCTGTTCGACCCGGACGAAGGTTTGAGCCGCTATCCTTTCTCGGGAGATGTTCGTCGAAGAGAGAGAGAGAGAGAGAGAGAGAGAGCGTGACGTCACCGACCGTCGTTACTCCCTGCCCCGGATGCGTTCACGTATAGATTTTTAATTTGCACTGACGCCGACTGGACCGGCGCGTTCGACCGTACTTCTCGTCACCCTCCGTTGGTAAGCTTTCAGATATCGAAATCGAGGCAGGATCTTTGGAAACGTTAATTTTATAGGAAGCGAAAACTGTAGGAGTGGTAAGCCAGCGAAATGTAAGTATCGTGACGATATTTTCGAACGCGAACGCGAACGCTGTTGCTTTCCCGTTCGCATCGTCTACATTTTCTGTACCTTTGCTCTCAGAGCATAGATGTCGTGACTTCACTCGTTTCGATCATACTTTCTGCATGAAAACGAGCTCGGTATATATCCAGGTTTTAAATCAACAACAAAGAAAGAAGGAGGGAAACGTGTCAGTTTTATACTTAATCAAAACGATTAGGCGATTGTGAAACGAAAGTAGAAAGGACAAAGTGTAGAGAAAGTGTAGCACTCATCGTGCAGCACTATGTTCAAATTATTGTAACGTTTCTGCTAGCAACTGCCGGTATTCCCAGTGAGCATGTCCCCGGTTTTTAATGCTGATGTTGAAGATTGTTATTCAAGAGCAAAGTATAGGTCAGTTCTATATTTCGTAAGACAAATTTTGTAACAAAAAATATTTTCGGCTACATGTTGATACCGTTCGCGCAGCCAATACCAGGCCTCTGACGTAACGCTCGCTGATTGGCCGGCGGTAATTCCGCCATATTGGTAATAGCCGAGACGCTACGGCTACGGTTCTCCTTCGTTGGCTGCGCTCGCAGCGTTTGAACGCTGTATTTGATCTCGAATATTCGTTAATATTTCAATCGTCTGAAATTGCTTGTAACAAGACATGTTTGCGCAGATCGTACGACTTCCTGCGAGAAAGGTATTTAGTGCCTCGATTATGCGAGATATGACTAGATGTAGCAATTTATTGTAATATTAATTCGATACTGTTATTCGTGCATAGGTTCGAATTTACCAAAATGGCGTTCACAATAGGAATAGGAATGCAACAGCTAGTCAACGGTATCGGCATATAAGTAAGTAATATTTTAGCGTATCTTTCGGAAATCTCGTCGATTGTTTCGAGCGAGTCGACAGGCAATCTCGTACGTGTCATGATACGAGTAAAGAAAGAATATAATCTCAGAATATTTTGCCCTTTCCCTCTCCCTCTTCCCCTCTTCTTCTCCTTTTCCCAAAGCTGCTTGCTCTCGCAACGTTTGAACGTCGGTGTCTCGAATATTTATTAATATTTCGATCATATTCGAAATTTTGCAACCAAGTAATTTTGGTGTAGATGGTACGAATTTTCGTGCTCGAGAGATATTTAGAAGTTAATGTTTAGATCATATGAGATGATGATTAGATGTAACAATTTATTGTAATATTAATTTGGCATTGTTATATATGCGTAGGTGCCGAGGTTACATAAAATGGCGTCCATGAGCACGATCGAACGGGAAATCTAGTACCGATGAGCAAGCGAGTAATATTTCAGCGTATCTCTCGGAAATTTCGTCGAGCCGTTTATTCTCGGTGAGTCGTCGCATAATAATAATTATGCGCGTGATTACATAAAACATATAGCCTTGGAGTATTTCGTGCGCCCGTTACGCTCGCAACATTTGAATGTTGATATATGTACATTATAAATTTATATTAATATTTCAATCGTTTAAAATCGCTCGCAATTAAGTAATGTTTCTATAGATCGTCGACTCCTTGTGGAAAAGAAGATCTAGTGATTAGTGTTTTGATTACATGAAACATGATTAAATGTAACAATTATTGTAATATTAATTCAACATTGTTGCTTGTATGTAGGTGAAGTTGTACGAAATGGTTTCCATGAATTAACCGGAAATTCAGCTCTTGGTCAGCGACATCGGTGGGTAAGCGAGTAATATTTCAACGAGTGAGTAATATTTCAACATATCTCTTTGAAATTTCGTCGAATCGGTTGCCTCTGACGAGTCGTCTCACCTCACATAATAGAATAGAATAGAATAATCATGCGCAGGATAATAAAATTAAACAATGAATATAATCTTGGAATATCTTTTCTTCTCTTCTTTTCATTTCTCTTCGAGCTTTACAATTTTGAGGTGACCGATTTGATCGTAATTTCGAAGTTAAGTGCTGCATGACCTCCTTCGTCGATTCTCATTTTATCTTGATCGCGGGAAGACGCAGCGGGTCGCCTTTTGTGCTGCAAGCACGTTTCTTCGCACGCTTGCTATCTTGAAAACTCTTTCGCGAAGTAGGCCGCGATACTTCGATATGACGTTGTCGTACTCGCCAAATTATAATGGCATATTTCTCTTCACTATCGGTGTCTTTCTTCGCTACATCTTCCCATTCAATTCTCGTCATTGCTCTATCTCTCGACCGATATACAGGCAGCTTTATCCTTGTATATAGTCTTTTCTATTGGCTTCGGCAATACGGCCCTTTTGAAAACGTTCACTATGTCGATATACATCAATAAGTCGGACACGTGGCTAAGTATTAAAAGAATTTCTTAGCACATATTTGCAAATATGAAAAAATCTTTCTAGTTCGCCTTTAAAATCGAACTCTAATTATCCTTGTCACAATGTGATTAAATTCAAATTTAAATTATTTCGTTTTCGGAACGTATTAATTATATTAATTCCAAACACTTTCATTATTACTGTTAATATTTTTATAAAATATATGCTAGTCTGGCGAGAGTTTATATAAATGAGAGTTTGTATAAAATATAAATTATTACGTCACTTTTATAATGAAATAACATTTTTATTGTTGAAATGAGATGATGATTTTAGGAAGAAAACATAATATTACAAAATGGTATTTATATCAATATTTATGAAAGCAAGATCTCAGTGAGAATATCGAAGTCGTATAATAGTATTCGTTGACTACATGGACGATTTGCGAGGTCATGCATGTACTAAATAAAATAAAAACAAGAATTGTCGTTTTTTCATCGTTTCGGTGTGACTGGGGACCGTCTGGTTAGCGCGTAATTTCACCCGACTCTATTCCTGGCACATGAAAACTTACTTCCACAAACAGCACGCTTGCTCATACGATATTTTCTAATGAAATGTGTGTTTTTCTAATAATTAATATTATTTTCTGAAAGAATATACTCATCAATTTCTGCTTGTTATATAATTTATTTGATTTTTACTATATGAATAATAGATTTCTCAATTCTTATGTTACACGCATATGTTTACATGTGACAACGGCAATTTTTTCATACACGTATTTTGATATGAGACGCGTAATGACATTTCTCAGTGCTAAAATCTTTGATTTTAATGAAAAATTTATAATTTCGACTTTTGTCAATTTTTTATTATTAATTCACAAAGTTATTATCTGATATTGACGACATATTTTCTCTAATTCGTAAAACCGCGCTCTCTCTCTTACGTTTTTTGTCACTTCGCATAATAGTTTGGCGATATCGAAGCATCGGTTCCTTTCTTTTGTGCCTGTCAACTGCATTGGCCGGGGTGAGTTTCCGATTCTCGCGAAATCCTTTCGACCACGAAATAAGACGGGCAGAATGAGACGCGGCGGGAAATTTCTCGGACAAGTTTTATGTATCGAAGTCGCCGCGGATACACATCCCGAGGGGTACTCCTCCGTGTGTTTGCCTGTGCAGGGACGGATGCTAACCTCCTCGAGGCTTAAAATTAACAATCGCGACGGACACACGAGAGCCCACTCGCTTGTACGACTAAAAATCGAAGAGTTTAATCGCTCTTCTCTTAATTGCTGCACAGGTGAGCTCCTTCGCGTCGAACGAGGGAGCTTCGACAGGCGACATCGAAGATCGGTAGTCGTCGTCGTCGTCGTCGTCGTCGTCGTTAGATTTATTTACGAAGGTGCAATCACGATAATTGGTTCGCAAAGTCCGTCCTCGCGTATCCGCGACGTCGCGCAGATTCAGCTCACCAAAATTATACCGGTCTCAATCCTCGCGTACTCGTTAGCCTCTACGCAAATCCGCCCCTGTATGCTTGCGCAGGTGCAAGCACACTGCGACATGCATACGTATGGCCGCGGCGCCTTGTATGCACCACGTATCGCTTCGTGGGGGAAAGAGGAGAGAAGATAGCGATTGAAATCGCGCACGGTGCGGCGGGTCCATGCTATTGACAGGCCGTCTTTTATAGGTATGTGCATCGCAATTCTTCCGCAATTTCGCCGTGCCCGTGGAGCTCCTTTTTCCGCAGCTCGACGGCAATCCGGCATTCGATATCGCGCTACCATCGCCCCTTTATTTCACCGTGGCCCTTTCATTCTCCTTCTTTCCCACTCGGTTTAACGCCGAGCCCTCGTCGCGCTCGTGCCCCCCGACGCGACGCGTCTTCGACGCGTCATTCGAGTCGCACGGCGCAACGGCGCTGATATTTTTAATGTTAACGCGAAATTCCGTCGTTAGATATTCCATTCGTGTTCGGCGAAATTACGCTTTTACGTTCTCCGCATTTTTAATGACGAGGAGGGAGCTTTCAGGAGGTGTTGCACGCGCTGCAAATTTTTACGTTATGCGCACACTGCGTGTGCCGTTTGAAAAAAAAGTTATTTAGCGGCGAGATCACACGTGACAGCGTAGACAAACGATAGGCAGAGATATCCGAGTTCTAGCCGAGCTATATATATGTAGTAATAAAATTTCACGGAGATCAATAGCTAAAGGCGATCGATTGCTTTCGACAGTGTTCAATTTGCCCTCTGATTTGGCACGCTTGTGAGACGGCTGACAGCGATATTTTTGTCCGTTCTCCAAATCTATCCAGCGAGCGTCATCCAACTCAGATCGCTCGCAAACCCGGTGTTCCTGGTTAGTCGTAGTTTACATGACGTCTCGTCGGAGTGCAGACTCGCGTCGGGGAGTTTGTGCGAAAATTGCATTTCGGTTGTTGAGAATCGAGGCGAACGAAATTTGATCTCGAACGGCACGGACTAGGGGTGCGCATGATGCGCAGGACAGAGTGCACTTTGTGCGTTGCACGCGAGATGTGATATGATTTAGCGAACGATTTTACACGAGATACTTTCGTCCCTTTAAATTTATCTCACTCGGTCATTCCTCTCCCTCCTCCACCATATTGATTCTCCGTCCACATCTATATTTTAGAGCGTACGTAACGGACGTTCGCTACGTCCGGAGGTAGAGACGAAGGAACGTACACAAAAACACACACACACGTACACATACATTAAGATAAAAAAAAAAGACGCGAAATTTTGTCTGAAGATTATCGTTATACGGGATGTTTTGAAGTCAATCTCTCCTTATCTCTCCTTATGATCGGTAACCCCTTATTAAGATTAAGATCGCGGATTTGAAGCATCCCGTGTGTATTTGGGAAAACCGATATCCGTCTACGAATATCTGTATACTAGAGGCAAAGTATCGATCTTTTGTACGATATAGCTCACCTCATTATTTAGTAGAATATTCGGCTTCGAGATATCTTTGATAACGTTAGAGATCTCTGGAAGTTAACAGTAGTGGAGTAGTAATAAATCTTTTTTTCCTCTCTCCTCTCTCTCTCTCTCTCTCTCTCTCTCTCTCTCTCTTTCTCCCTTTCTTCCCCTTCTGTTTATCACTCTCGCGGTGATTGGCATTATCTTTTTTTCAACGCAATCAGATTTCATCAGGTTTCATCGAGCATAATCGAATCTCACCTTTACACTTATGTTACTGTTACACGCTGATGCATATGCACACACTTAATTACATGCTCGCAAGCGCTGTGGCCTATAAGTAATTCAGTTATCCGATGCTGCGCGATGGGTAACAATGGCGTTGCAAATTAAAAGTCATTAAAAAAGTATTAAATATCTTGCTTCTATTCGAGGCGACGGGATTTGTATAACGTGAAAAGTGTTAATGGCGACTTGGAGAAAATGGAAACGCAATATAGACAGACGCAACAAAATTCAATGTGCGTTTGGTGAAAGCGCACTTTCATTTAGCAGAAGAGAGTAAGTTTGCACTTGAAGAGTGTATATTATTTTTATTAATTTTATCTTATTTTTCGTGTCTTTCTCTTTTTCAATTTTTTTCTGTTTCAATTTTTTTTCCTCGCTCTTCATACTTTCTGTATTATTCTCGAAAAAAATGTTTTTTATTAATATTTTTATTTCCTCTTGTTTACTGGATCTTGTTTTAGTATTTTTTTCAACAAATTGCATATCGCGAGCATTTAAATTTGTTTTCCGTGTATCGTTGTCGACACACACATACACACACACACACACACACCACACATCTCTACACATTTGAAGTAAATTTCTCATCATTCCCAGTCGATACGAACCGTTCAACCTCATCTAAGAGCCACTAATAGCCATCGTGAGATCTATGATGGGACTGTAATGGGCGCAACTGCAAACTGTAAACCGTTAATACCTTTCGATGTACGATTCCGCGGGTTTTCCATGATCGGCTCTCTCGCTTTGGCCGAAAGTTTCAATCGCCGAAAGTCGGCGTCTGCAACGAGCAAACGATATTGAGTCCGTTCTCCCTTTCTCTCGTTTCGCGCGGCTCGTCTCGCGTACTCTCTATATTTAGCGGGCTTCAGTTTACTAACCAAATTGCAGTGGGTGGCGACAACGCGCGGATACCGTGTATTCCAGTCGAGCCACCGAGATTTGGTAGGACTCGTCGTCGTCGGGGAGACAGAAAGAGGTGGTTACGCGATGCCAGGTTGATGCTGGGGTAGCCGTGAGCGAGTCGAGAGGGAAAGCCGGGGATGTAGATAGCGATTGAGAAAGGGGAACGCTACGAGGGAAAGCGTCAGAGCCGGCGAGATAGAGAGAGAAACGTCCTGATGGAGTGTGGCGGAGGTGGGGCGGGTCTGCCGGGCGAGGACGAAGGGAGGCATCCTGCGGAAAT